TATACCATTTTCCTCTTTTGCGATTCTCATTCCTAAGAAATGTTTTAAGTTTCCTAAATCCTTGACCTTAAAAAATTGTTTAATATCCCTTTTAAAATTTTCTTTCATATCAGCATTATTACTGAGAATGCAAAAATCATCAACAAAGATTGCAACAATTAACATGCAAGTTTCATTAACTTTATAATATAGGCAATGATCATGTTCAGACCTTTTCATTCCAAGTTGCATCATTGCTTCGTTAAGTTTAAGGTTCCACTGTCTAGGCGCTTGTTTTAAACCATAAAGTGCTTTCTTTAACTGGCATACCTTCCCCTTGTTGCATTCTTTAGTGAAACCCTCAGGTTGTTCCATATATATTTCTTCATTTAGATCACCGTTAAGAAAAGCAGTTTCAACATCCATTTGATCCATTGTTATATTCCATTGTGCTGCGAAAGCAAGCAGTAATCTAACTGTTGAAAGGCGTGAAACGGGTGCGAATGTTTCGTCATAATCTACGCCGTAAGTTTGTGTAAAGCCTTTGGCTACTAATCGTGCCTTATAGCGTGTGTTTTCTCCGTTTTCATTTTTCTTTATTTTGAATACCCATTTACAACGGACTATTTTTCTATTTTTAGGTCTATCCACAAGGACCCAAGTTTTGTTAGTTACAAGTGAGTCATATTCACTTTGAAGAGCCTCTTGCCATTTATTTTTATCATCAGAACTAATGGCTTCCTTAAAGGTTGAAGGGATATCATCTTCTTCAGCTTTGTAGAGAACTATATCTTCTGACCACTTTTTCGGGATTCTGTTTCTCAATGGATATCTCCTAACAGGTTGAGAAACTTGATTGTTTGTACTATCCGAAATTTCAGTAACACTGTCATAAAATTCTTCTTCAGTGTCGTCATTTCCAGTTACCTGTGTGTGTGTTAAAGGTTCAGTTTCGATATTGTTGATTTCTCCTTCAGTTAGTATATTTTCAGAATTTTCTGTAACTATAAAAGGTTCAGTAATAATGTTGTTGACTTCTCCTTCGTTTGGTATATTTTCAGAATTTTCTGTAACTATAATAGGGACGGATTCTGATACTTGAGTTCCAACTTTATCAACCATATTATTTTGATCACTTGACTGCGATTTGAATAAAAAATCATTTTCAAAAAATTTTACATCTCTTGTCTTAATAAGAATTTTTGGATGTTCAGGATCAACTACTCTGTATCCCTTAGTTTCGGTGCAATAACCTACAAATATGCATAGTTTGGCCTTAGCATCAAATTTCTTTCGAAGAATTTTAGGTATGTGCGCATAAACTCTGCATCCAAATATACGAAGATGTGAAAGATCCACTTTTCTTCCTGTCCAGATTTCTTCAGGGGTTTTCCCTCTAATAGCCTTAGTCGGTGAGCGATTTTTCAAGTAAGTCGCTGTATTGATTGCTTCTCCCCAATAACTTTGAGGTAGAGCAGATTCTGAGAGCATAGATCTGGCTTTCTCTACTAAGGTTCTGTTGACTCTTTCAGCCAGGCCGTTTTGCTCTGGATTGTGAGGCACAGTCGTTTGGTGAACTATACCGGACTGTTTCAAAATTTCTTTCATTTCCGAATTCAAATATTCACCACCGTTGTCAGAACGTAGAATTTTAATCTTTTTGTCAGTTTGGTTCTCGGCTAAGCTTTTGAATTCGCGAAATTTTTCCACAACTTCTGATTTTTGTTTAATTAGGTAGGTAAATGTTTTTCTAGAAAAATCGTCAGTGAAAGTCACGAAATATGAAGCACCTCCCAAAGATTGGGTACTCATAAATCCGCAAACGTCACTGTGAATAATTTCCAACAAATTTGTCGATTTTGAATCTGACGTTTTGAAAGGTTGCTTTGATAATTTACCTTCCACGCAAGCAATGCAATTATCTTTAATAGATCCAGCAGGCTTTGGATACCTGACACCAAGAGCTAAGTTTTTTCTAAGCAATTCCATAGATCTGAAGTTCAGATGACCAAGGCGTTTGTGCCATAATTCAGCTGAATTTTCTTTAACTTCTGTTAAATTCGCGTGAGCAGTAGGTAAATCAAGTTTGTACATACCATTGATATTTGAGGCTGTGCATAAAACTTTTCCGAATACCTTACACGTTTCTCCATCAATAATTTTTCCTCCAGATTTCGAAAAAAGTACGACATTCCCTTTCTTTACCAATGAGTTCACTGAAAGCAGGTTCGTTGAGAGGTTCGGAACATGCAAAACATCGGTAATATTGGAAGTGTTTAGTTTTACAGTACCAATGGCATCTGAAAGAATTATTTGATCATTAGCTATTCTAATACTTTTCGTGACAGGTTTAGTATCATGTAGCCAATCACGTCTATTAGTCATATGACTTGTAGCCCCGGAATCTATAAACCAGTTATCACTCTTTGCAAGAAGCGACTTATCAAAAATTGGTTTACACATAAAAGAGTTTACAAAAGTTTCACTAAACTCCAAATTATCAAAATTAGAATTAGTCACGGACTGATCATCAACCACAATTGTTACCTCGCAAATTTCGGCCTTTTCATCTTTGGATTTAGCTTTAAGAATTCTACAATTTGGTTTTATATGCCCTGGTTTACGGCAGTAATTACAAAATATGTTCTTAGTGTCTCTATTAAATTTGTTGTAAGACAACACTAAAGCACTATCTTCAGGTGTTTTACTGCAGGTGGCTAGATCTCGGCTGTCTTCTTTCATAAGTGCAGCAATGACATTGTCTGATGTTAGTTCAGTGCCAGAATGTTCCAATGCCATGACGAGTGGCTTAAATTGATCGGGTAGATTACAAAGCAGTATAATTGCAACAAACGAATCATCTACTTTGTGGTTTATTTGTTCTAATTGTTGGTGTGTCGACATAATCTCATTAACATAAGTTTCCATATTATCAATATATCGACAGTTCATTAGTTTTTTCATTAACATGAGCTTTCTAATAAGTCCGCTGTCTGCGTATGCCCTTTTTAAGTTATTCCACGCTTCAAATGCAGATTTACATCCCATTATTTTAGAGAAGACTCTTTCATGACAGCACAAGCCAATTTTAGATCGGGCTCTGTCATCAGAGCGTTGCATTTCTGGTGAGCTATTGTCAAAAGGTGGATGCTTCACGCAATCCCATAGTCCACAATCAATCAGCATCATCTCCATTGAGAATGCCCATGTTGCATAGTTTGAACGCCCTTCTAATTTGTTAAAAGATGGAGTACTTACTGTATGTGCAGTTGAAATATAGGATACTACACTACTATTACTTGCGTTTGTATGAGAGAAAGGTTTTGTACAAGAATCTCCTTCCATTTTTTTTATGTTCGAATTGCAAAAATTTAGAGTATCAGAGCTCCTGGGCCCATAACCAAAAGGAACTTATTGCCTTTAAATAGGTATTCTCTTAACTCCAAATAAAATAATAATATGTAAGATAAAAAGACTTATGTATTTTCTTGATAAATATTTTAAACAGAAAAAAAAAACTGACAATGACAAAGAATATAAAGAGAAAAAACAAAGTGGCCTATCAAAAAATATATGAAAGAAGGTTGGTGTGTAAACTAAATAGTTCCAACAGAATCAACCAACTAATTAAGAATTTATATCTAAAGAAAAAAGATAATGTCTCATTTAATCAATCCAATTCAATGTATATCCAATATAATATAAAGAATTCATTAATCTAGTTTCCTTTCAATTAATCGACTTGTTGTTTTTCAATATCGATAGTAAATAACTTTATGTCAATCACTAGTGTGATATGTCAAATTGCGCACTATAGATGTCTGTTATGGTTGAGCGTGATTGGTTATAGTTATATTGGAGCGTTCTGATTGGCATGTTTAAAATACAAGTGTGTGCATATCTTTTGTATGATTGGTCTGATTATTCGTCTGATGTACGGCGGACTAAAAGTGGGGCAAGACTGGCTACATCGGTTTTCGTACAAAGGATGCATGATCGCCTTTCTAACCTCTTTTCCGTGTTCTGTGAGTGTTGCCTACACTGCGCATAGTACCATTGACATGATAGTATGTATAGCGATGGGTAATTTTTGTATAAATCTTAGATGTTCAATATTTATAAGTTATATACATTTACATGTTATATAAATATTGGAAACTTTTTTCACCAACGAATCATTCACTTTATCTGCGTCTGAATAGTTGTTCTTGTGAAGTATATACATACCAAAGATAAGTATATGCTTGTTCCAAGTTCTAAGTTCTTAACATATTTTAGATGCTTTAGTGACTTGTTGATTTTAAGATGTGTTTTTGTTATGTTTTCTTTAGTCAGTAAATATTTTATTCGAATTGAATAGATATTCTCATTTATTATTAACAGTTCGAATGAATAAATCATGTTCGCCCACCTCTAGTATGTATTGACATATTGTTCTGTGATTGACATAGAGATGTGCCAACCGGATAAACTTAAAAACGTTGGAATCATTGTTCTACAAATCTACAAAAATTGTCACTAGATGGCAGCACAAATTGTAGGATCTAAATGTCTATTGCCATATAGCAAAAGAAAAACATCATCGAATGTTAACTAGTTTGACAAGTGGTTGCTACTTTGTTTACTTACTTTTTAATTTTGAATTAGATTAAATTTAAGTTAAATATTTTAGTTGTGTTTATGTAAAGTTAACACGTTTAATAAGCATAAGTCATGCGTTTCTCCGTAGTGGTAGAGGTATGTTATTGCCGGTGTAATTTTTTTTAAAGGTTATGTACTTAGACGAAGTCTTACTACATAGAGCAGAACAAAAAAATTGTATTGTTGAGGTCCATTTCAATATTTTAAACATTAAAATGTTAATCTCCACGAAGCTATTTCTAGCTACATGTCTTTATTTGACTCCAAATGTTTTGTACACGTATTCCACAACTATGATACGTGACGTTAAAATGCTCAAAACTTAAAATGTCCTAGAAACTGATTCAAATACAAATTGAATGTGACCATTCGTTAGACCAACGAATGATTTTATTTTTTAAGTCAAGAGCAACCTTTTTCTTAGATTTCCTAAAAATAAAAGGAACAAAATCAAATAATGTAAATACCTACATTTGGCAAAGAAACACAGATGTTAATAACATTTCCATCGTTTTCAGGTATTATTACCACTGTTACTAATTTTGTTAGAAAAATCAGTTCATGCAAAAAAACAGAAGAGTATTTTAATTAGTGATATCAATGATTTAAAAGAATTTAAGAAATTACTACGCACTAAGACTAATGTAATGATATTGTATGTCAATATTCCAAAAGCATCACAGTTGGTAACAGATGTGTTCAGAGAGACTGCAGATTCAATGAGAGGTCAAGCCACTCTTGCTGTCATAGACTGTAATAATAGGTAAGATATTTAAGATTAAATTGAGTGTGCCATGACAGTGGCCAGTGAGTGCCATATAAAAATTTAAAATTTATGCATGAGGATATTATGTTTAATTATTATTATGTTTAAAGAAATGCAAAAGTCAAACCAAAAGTCTAATATAGCATATTAGATTTTATGCAAATAGATAGCAAACCACTTTCCAATAATAACTAGCTTTTTAACTGTATTATAAAAATAAACCTTACCATACTCAGATACCGAAAAGTAACTTCATTTTATACTATTTATAGATATTTTATAATCTATATAATGAAAAGTATCACATCACATACATTTAAAATGATTACATTGTTTGTACATGTATAATCATTATGCATTTCACAGTGACACCAAAAAGCTTTGCAAGAAGTTAAAAATTCCCACAGAAAAAGCTTATTACGTAAAGCACTATAAAGATGGTGATTTTCATAAAGACTATGATAGAAGTGAGACAGTAAGTTCAATGTCTAACTTCCTCCGAGATCCCACAGGAGATTTGCCTTGGGAAGAAGATGTAGATGCAACAGACATTTTCCACCTATCTGATGTAGAGGTATTGCTATTAATAATTTTATTATCTTATAAAGAGTTTGTTTGCATCAATAATGATGATTGCCATTGTATATTTTCTATGAGTATGAGGGTGATTCCAGGCCTTGACAAAATTTTTGAAGAAGAGTGCAGCTGCTTACAAAAAGTCGATGATAATGTTCTATGCCCCTTGGTGTGGGTATTGCAAAACTTTAAAGCCAGAGTATGTGCAAGCTGCAGCTGAATTAAAAGTAAGATAATGTCACTTTACAGGTTTACTGAAAGAATAGAAATAGTCTTACATAAGGGGAATATTACAAGGAATTTATCATGAAAAATAATAGTATCAAAAGGAGATGGCCCAAAGTCATTTCATGTTTCAATATGAAAACACATAGGAGTTTTAATCTTAAAAAAAAACAACACAGATATTATTTATATTTTTTAAATTAGTATTATATAGTAGAAAAATCTTATCTAGGGTACTTTCGGAATATGATTAGTAAAGTTATACAATCAATTTCCAAAACAATTGATATATTGTCATTATATATATATATATAATATATATATATATATATATATATATATATAATGACAATGAAATAAACATTTATTTTATTTCACAAATACAAAATGCTGCTAGTTATAGCAATAAATGTCATTTATTTTTTGTTGCATAAAATGTTGATAGAGATTCCAAATTTGATCATGACACATAGACTTTAACTTGCGGAGCAAACTATGTAAGAATATTAGTTGATAGGTTGTTTTAATTTTATTTATTTATTCAGGGTGAAGCACTCTTGGCAGCTATTGATGTGGCAAAACCTGGAAATTCTAAGATAAGACAAATGTACAATATTACTGGTTTTCCAACACTTTTGTACTATGAGTGAGTATATACAATATTTATATGTGCTACATTCTGTGATTAATCCTTTTTCAAAATTTAACATTGATTATGAAATTATATCAGTGAAATATTGAAAGCTAGAAATTCTGAAGAAGATGTAATATAATTACAATAATTGCAATTATACAATAAAAGCATTTCTGTTTGTAACTATTTGGTTAAGGCAGCTGTACAAACAAAGGAGCTAAGTATATGTATAGACGGAGTATGGATCTTTTCAGTGCAAAATTATAACAACAATACAAATTTAACTTTTACATTATAATGCTTTAGAGTTTAGACATTTACTGGGCAATATTTATAATGCTAAGTAACTGATAGAGTTAGTTTAACATCATAATCTGTGATAGAATTAAACATGTCACAAATATCCATGTTGATACATATGTTTCTATGGAAATTTTAATATTTTATATTTAGGATACAACATCATAGTGATATTATAGTGTTATTTAGTTTCATTTTGCTTGTAAAATGAAATTCATTTTGCTTGTAAAAGTAGTAAAATGAAACAAAATATTACCATAAAATCGCTAGGATGTCGTATCCTTTGCCTAGAGTGATGGTTAGAGAGTTAACGATCGCACCCTGATGCTGGTGAAATTTTCAAGTATTTTTCTATGAGATAAAATGAAAACTAAGTAGTTTAGACTCAATTTCATAACCAGCAAATATGGTTGCTCACTAACAGTAGTGAGCAACCTAAGGAGCATATTTAAGGAATGTATTTTAAAAATTTACAATGATGTAAATATTTACTTATTCTAGGAAGGGTCAACTTCGTTTCCCTTATAATGGGGAAAATGAGAAACAAGCTATTGTAGATTTTATGAGAGATCCAACCGCACATTTACAAAAAAAGAAACAACAGAATGTTGATGAAAGCTGGTCTCCAGACACAGATGTTGTGCACTTGGAAGGTATGATTAGTTTTTATTATAACTACCTATATATAAAATTACGATATGATTACAAATAAATTTAAATCAATGATAATCCTTTTACTATCAAATTATTTAAAGAGTGTTCTATTTATGAATGTATGGCAGTAGCGATGACGAAAATTGAAACTTCCAAATAACTTTGAACAATTTCTTTAGTCTGATAATATACAATCTCAAAATAACTAAATATAATCAATGTCTTAAAGATATTAATATTGAAACAAATTCCGAAAAATGATTTGATCAGAGAGTATAAATCAATATAATATATATATTCTTTTTGTAATTGCCAGAGTGTTTCAATAATCTATGATGATGAACTCTTTATGTGAATGTTTATGGAAGTGGTGAATATATATAAAAAAAAAATATGGAATGTTGTATGTATGTATAGTGGGTTCCCCACAAACGTATAAAATAAATTTTAAAATATTTTTTTAGTACTAAGTGGTATTTGTGTTTCTTATTGTTGGCAAATCCTTATTCTCGACCTGTATCATAAGCTCAGTGAGTATACTAATGTTTAAATTATTATAAAAATAAATAATTTACTTTATTACATTATAAAGCTTGCTTTATTCCAACAACGAGATTTGTGGGTTTAACACGTATATAATAAAATCAGAAAAGTGCAAGCTGAGACTTATGTACATTCACATTTCATATCAATGAACATTTTATTTTTATCTAAACTATACACATTATTGTGAAGCTTTTGTAAAGGCTATAACTTGTTTCTTTTTTAATTGCTTATTATAAGATTCTCTTTTAAAAATGCGATGTCAAAGAGCCACAAAATGTAAGAGTAAAAAAGGATGCTGTCAAAATTCTTCTGTCATTATGATGCTTTTTGATTTTTTCCGCTATTGGTGCATCGTAAATAAAATAGTTAATTTCAGATATCTTTCCTCATAAGGAAATTATGTTTCCGGTCCGATTATTTGCCCAAAGATTATATAAAAGTATGTATGTGATTTAAGTACATAAAACAGGTGCCTGTTACATTGTTTTGATATTAAAGAAGAACAAACATTGACCACCTTTATATTTGTTATTAGTAATATCACTAATACACTAACTAGTGAATGAATTAACTTATCAAATTGTATTGTTTCACGCCGCGATGTATTTTCTTGGAAACTTCGGCAAGTTAGGTAGGGTTAGGTATGTTGTGTAATACAATTTGACATTTTTGCTATTGGCGACACTGACCGACTCGCTGTTATGGCATCTTTATGAGATGTAGCTTTACGTGACTTAATTAATCTCTGATCTACGAGTTTGTGGAAACCTTAGTATTTAGTACACTGCCGAATTTGGAGTACGGCGACTGAATGTGCGTGTTAAACAAGCACATATGAATAATTTACGTAATTTCGTGGCAATGGCAATAGCCTCCTATTGCCCCACAACTTTTAGTAAAATTTCCGTTAGTTACATAGAAACTATAGATACGGGATATATTCTACTAAACTATTTGTGTCTATCATAATAATCGAGAATATATGTATTAACATTATTTATTAATATGAATACACATTAAATTATAATCACCTGTTTAGCTGAAACTTTCGACGCCATATTGACGAAGGCTGAACACGCGCTTGTTGTCTTCTATGCCCCATGGTGTGGTCACTGTAAAAGAATTAAACCAGAGTTTGAAAAAGCAGCTACAAGAATTAAGTCCGAAAAGGTGAATATTGACATGGTTGTGATGTATATTAACTAAACATATTTCATTAATTTAGCAGTGACGTAAAATAAAATAGTGTGATATTATAATTATCATTTGTTAATATTCAATATATTAAATAAATTATGTAAGTAAATCCATAATTATACACGTTTAATATTTGGTTTAAACTCTATAGTTTTATTCTGATAATTTTAATTACGCAATTGCTATAGTATGTTGGATGCGTATAGTATGTTATTATTTTTATGTTAAATGTTATACTATCCTAGTAAACAATTATAATCTTTTATTAGATAAACGGTGTGTTAGCTGCTGTTGATGCTACCAAGCAACCGGAATTGGCCTCTCGTTTCGGCGTAAAAGGATACCCCACTTTGAAATATTTTAACAAAGGCGTATATAAGTTCGACGCTGGTCATGCTAGGCAAGAAGAGCAAATTATTAGTTTTATCAAGGTAAGTCTTGTTAATATTTTATGGGAAATTAAAAAAAAATATAGTTTAGAGAGGAAGAGATTAAGATTTTGTATTATCAAGGCAAATTTTATTCTTTCCATCATTTGTTAGTGAGTGAGGCGGCTTGACATCGCGCACTTATTCATAGTGCAAAGAGCTTCCAATTGTGCATATCGCAAACAGGCTACTCGACAGCTGCAACAGTAAATTATGACATTTATTGGAAATTGTAGTTTATATCTAAACTGTAACTATGTAGTATTTTTTTTTTGAATTGTAAGTATATTTTATTTAAGAATGCAATATTAACTTCCGACTTTTAATTTTTGGATTACAAGATCCGAATTGCGGATGGCCAAGACGTAGCATGGTGTAACGTCAACATTTCAATAAACTGAATGTCAATCACCCGTTAAGGCTCAAGATCCAAGGGTATTCGTCAATTTCCTTTAATGTTGACAGTAAAAACAAGTCACAACATTTGTTTTTGATATAATCGAAGTATGACAAAGTCTTTTCGCAAACATACGTTTTTCGGTCCAGACTGAGACTGCAGTGCGGCAGGCAATTAGGCGCGATTAAACGTATTGTATCGTTCGCGTGCTGTAGTATGGACCACGGGCCTGAGTTGAGCAGCCTTTACATTAAGCGTTAAGCTGTGTAACTTCGTCGTAAGGATACGTACATTTTCTACAAGTGTGCCGTAGCGAGCCCCCACTTCTCAACCTTAATGGCTGTTATGTGAGCTTTTTCTTGTTCAATTGAAATAAAAAAAGTACGTTTCTAATATTTTTCTATTAACTAACTGGCGGGTTAATAGAATTTTATTTTTTACCTAATTTTATAAAGTGGTTGATTGCTAGTATACTCTTGAGTAATACAGGACCCACAAGAGCCACCCCCTCCGCCGCCGCCAGAGAAGCCCTGGTCCGAGCAGGAGTCGGCCGTGCGCCACCTCAACTCCGATACATTCCGCCACACACTCCGCAAGATCAAACACGCCCTCGTCATGTTCTACGCACCATGTCAGTATAATATACTTCATCAACAGTCTATTAGAGTCGACACTGCAAGAGGCACAGGTCTTCCCGTAACCGTAACCTACGCGGACTAGTCTTGACGTAATAGTTCGGAACTGTGATTGAATGAGTTAGTTCGCGACTCCTCGACGAGCTACTTTGCTCTTGGAGTTCGTTAGTTCGTTTAGATTCCTAGCTCTTTGCAAATAATCCAATCTTTAGAAAGCTGTTTTTGATGAATAAAGGGTCTTTTTGTCATAGACATTGACGAATTATAAATGTTTTAATTGTTCAATCAGGGACAAGAGAGCCTTAATCCAAAAATCCAGTCCAGTTAACTTAATAATCCTATATCTAGTTTTTTCCTAACGATACAAAATTATTAGCGATTCGATATTTTTTCAAATCACAACATCTCTTTTTCGTCATGTAAAGACACTGTAAAAGTTGTTACTAAATCAAATGAGAACTTGTGTTAATGAATAGGGGTCTATTTTAAAACTTGTCGAAGCCCGAAATAATGTTTGTTTATGTCGACTATAGGGTGTGGACACTGTAAGAGCACGAAGCCCGAGTTTGTCAGGGCTGCGGAACAATTCGCCGATGAACTAATGGTCGTATTCGGTGCGGTCGATTGTACCGAACATCAAGAGTTGTGCGCTAACTACGACGTAAGGGGCTACCCCACCATCAAGTACTTTAGCTACTTCGACAAACTCGTCAAGGAATACAGCGGCGGTAGAAAGGTACGACATGTAGTTATTAATTATTATCATAATTTAACTAAGTTTGTACGTGTTCTAATAATTAATGTAAATACGAGTCTGTAGATATTGATTTTGTTCGGAAATAGTCTATATAAAAGTCTAATAGATCTGATCGTTTGTTTCTTTGCAACGAATATGCTCCGAAAATACTGAGTAACTTGGGACAATGATCTTGATAGCGGCCAGTAAATCTGGATATGAAATTTTATAATTAATAATTCTGTGAAGAAATAATAAGTCTGATACAGTGCGACAACGACGGTTTTAACGATGTCATATCAAAGAAAGACAATTGCATATTTTAAAAAAGCCTGTGATGTTTACCGGTTGACTTAAAAGCTAATTGTCTCGTGCAGGCTCTTTGAATGCTTTCAATTCTCTGTGATGAGTTAGCATATACAGGATTCCGTGTAATAGAGGCAAATTCAAATCTACTTCGGACAAGACTTATAAAGAATTGTTTTTGTTTGCTGCCGCAGAAATCCTTATGAATTACGTTTAAGAAAGCCAAGCATGATTTAGTATTTTAGTCAATAGGGATGACGACTAATTTTTGTTTTTCTCTCCGTCAGGTGGATTATTGAAGAATATTTAATACGTTTTTTTATTTTTATTTTTCGCGTATTCAATAAATTACGGCGATACATTGAGTTGAAATGTCGCATGACGTCACGATATGGTACATTTTCTACAAAACTGTGACGTAGCGAGCCCCCACTCCTCAAATTTAATGCCTTATAACTAAGCCATTTCTTGATCAAATTGAAGAAAAAAAATACGTATCTAATATTTTTCTATTATCTGACTGACGAACTAAATCTTTTTTTACCCAGTCGTCATCCCTATTGAGTCAATGTGAAATTTAAATTTTAGTTTATTGTCTATGATAGATCTATCGGTTGTACCGTCTATTAAATATTTAGATCTTATAGCATTTTTTTTTGTTAAACGAATATAAAAATACACTCTGAGTGAACAAGTTTTATGATAATGATGACAAATTATATTAATGTTACGAGTATATTGATTTCTTATATTTTCACGCGCACCATCCATAAATGAAACAACTTTTAAAGGGTTTCATCGAGTTTGTATTTAGTTTTATTGGCGTTTCGGACCCTTTACAAGTTCCCTGTTCACATAAGACATAACCCGTAAAGGGTCCGAAACATCAATAAAACTAAATAATTTGTAATTTTTTAAATAGTAACAAGAACTGCATCATAAAAGTTGTTATAGATACGCTACAGATACGCCATAATTACGTTTACATTAGCAGAACATAACATAACATTAGCAGAATTGAGTCCTAATAAGAGATGTCTCTAATACAAGAGTATAAGCTACTTGGCTTGGTATCAGAGCTGTTTGTCATGTATAATTCTTTCTTATCTTCTTTTTATAAGGAGGCAGATTTCGTGTCATTCATCCACACCCAAATGGACGGTCATCAGACAGCACAGAAAGCGCCAAAGTCTAATCAAGAAGCTGGTTTCGGTGTGAACGTGATCCTCGCTAGTGATAATGATTTCGAAGAGATAGTCGCCTCGTCTACACCTACATTTATTATGTTTTATGCTGTTTGTAAGTATTACCAGCCTTGTTGCATAACAATGTTATAGTAAATCACTACTATATAAATGCTCTTGACTTTTTTATACCTTTGTGCAAATCTATTTTAAGAAATTACTTGGCAAATGTCGGCCAATCAGTAGATGTACATTGCATTGAATGAAGGGGGGGGGGATATAATGTAGTGTTTTAACTGGCTGATAAATTATTTAAAGGGTGCGGTCACTGCGTTACTGTGAAACCAGCGTTCAGTCGTCTGGCGACCACCGTGAAAAGCGACAAGATTCCCATCCAAGTTATAGCAATAGACGCATCTGAAAATCCAAAGGTCGCCGATCTGGCAGGCATTGAAACTTTACCCACATTTAAAATGTATGCCAATGGTAAATTACTCGCCGATTATGCCGGCGAAAGGACCACGGAGGATATGCTTCAGTTCTGCAAATCCCACGCAAAGGTTAAAGATGAATTGTGATCGTAGTAATTCTCTGAATATCTGAGAGTCACATTCTAAAATTGTTATTTATTAAGTATCTATTTCGGCTTATATAACATTCTCGTTTGTTAAATTTATATGACAAATAATAAAAAAATCCTAAAAAGTTTTTGATGTAACTCTCAGGTGCAATTCTTGATAATAACAGTTTTCCATTTGTTTATTTTGTACTTATATTTATTTGAAGTTGATAGTACTTTGATTTAGTTTTTGGTAGAGTACACGTGGCCGTTTGCATATCAAAATGTGAAATATTCTAAATCAAGTTTTATATACGTAACAATTATTTTATAATGTGTTTATATTACTTATTTATGTTAGAACAAAGTGTTGCCTGTAATGGAATTAGTAATATGTACACAATTTTAATGCTACCATAATGATATCAATATTATGAGATTTTTTATATTGTTTATATCTGTATTTATTTGTGATTTCGTAGTAGTGGGTATTTTATTAATTGAAATAATACTAAAATTGTATGTTGTAAAAATTGTAGATTATAATTATATTATAAAAATATGATATATTCATATTTGTAATGTTGACAATACTGCTGTAATGCCAATTAGGATCGATGAGTAAGTACTCGAGCATTTAAATAAATATATTATTATCGGGTAACTATATGCTGTTGAATGGAATATTCCTTATATTAAATATATTTTAAGGCTTTACTTATATAAGAGCAATTGTAGATGTTTATACCCTTTGAAGGCTCCATGGACACTAGACAAATTAAGTCATTAAAATAGTACAACTTTTTTTCATTTCACCATGCCATATCATGATCGTGCTATAGCATGAAATATACAATGGTTAATACATTTGTTCAACCGCATGTTATGCCCGAATGTAACATGTATAATACCCGATCGCAAAAAACATTTCTTTATATTGATTCAGAACTGTGAGTTTGAAACGACACTCATGTCCTGTCACAGGCTAACACCGGAGCGAATCCAAGATAATATAGTTTTCATATAGCTGTCAGTTTGGATAGTTACGTCATATTAAATTGCCGCGTTTTTGCGTGAAATGTAAATGTTATTGATAATATGTTGTATGTTTCATTAATTCCATTTGTAGTTCCAGTCGGATTTCCAGTTCTAAACTTAAAAAGAAATAGGATATTTTTTTTAATAATTAATTTCAAATTAGCTGGTGACGGAACGTTTTAGTGGGTGTTGTTTCGAGAATATTTTTTTGTCTGCAACATTCCGGTTATGTTATGAAACAATATAGTGGGCAAACGACTTAAAGGTTAGTATAACTTTATGAGTGAGGTTGTTAATCTTGATCAGATTAGAACGAACGGTTTAAGATAACTTGTGTGTAATATTATTGAAAATAGATGTATGAAAATTGTCTGTTGTGATGTCCACTTAGCTTTTATGATGCGTCACGTCTCATCGGTCGCGGTTAATATTGACGCTCAAAATTCTCGTCAGATCCATTCTGCATAATGTTTCTAAATAAAAAGTTTAACACAAATAGATCTTATGAGAAAATAAAGTCGCTTCATCCATAATGGATTTGGATGTGCTGAGAGTTCTGAGATTTGACGAATCAAATCAAGACCAGTGTGCAATAATATGGTAAATTCATTTCTACTATAAGATAATGTTATTTCGCTAGTAAATTTTTAGATCTGTGGTGCTATATAATTACTATTTTTTGGAAATCTAATATAACATTTATTTCGATATAACTAACTTAATAAAGGCATATCAATTTGTCCTTAGTCTTGTTGAGTTCGTATTCGCAGTGTCCTTACGGTGTATCATAGGGTTAAAAATACACTATGCATTACGTAATGAGGAAGTATTAAAAAAAATGAAAGCACCTCCACTAGATGGCGACTCTAGCAAAAGTTGATTTTTGCAGGAAACGAATGGACCAAAGACAGTCATTTCCGTTCCTATTAACTAACGTATTAGAAAACTGAAATTTGAAAAGTTCGGAACTTAGATATCAATACAAATACGAAAAAGTACAAATAGAATATGAGTTGTTTATTGAGTTTTGAAAACTAATTTACTTTTAAACATGAAAGAAAACCGGAAAGGTTGTCATGGAGAAATCAAGAGCGTACCGTGGCCACATCTAGTTATATTTCGGGAACTAATGTTTTTTTTTAATACTTCCTCGTTATATGGCGAATTTGCTTTTATGGTTTACAGAATACATTATATATTTCATTTTGTAGTAACCACAACGTAAAGCTGAAGGGAAGGATCCGCTGGCATGTACGATGTCCGATACGGCATGTGTTGGTTTAGGTACTTATCCATACTGATCTTATTTCGTTTATTTTATTTTATGTATAGCTTAGATTTTTTTACTTTTGTACTCATAAATTATGTACGTAATATATATGTTTTGATGTATTGTCACGGGGCTTACCTAGTTATTTATGAGAGGGGAAGACCTTTTTGTTATTAAAATTTCTGGGATGGGCAAGGCCCATTGCCCCACCTCTGTCGTACACCGATGTGTATTTTATCTGTTAGATTTAACTTTGTACTTACATTATCTATCCTTTTGCAGATAGGTTCTAACATTGAAGATTTTCGTGGACTTAACGAGTTACATAATTATTTAACGAATGGGCTTCCACACTTAATGAGTTCATAACATTGTAATTTATATACTTATTAATTCAATATTAATTTTCATACATTCCTTTGTTCTGATAATGAAATGATAATATCCCTTGGTGTAGGTATATCATATATTATGTTAAAACTGTTGCTGGTATTAACTAAACATGGAAATATAATATTTATTAAATATGTTGTGTTTTTATTTAATTAGGTGTGGTGCGTTAATTTCATTATTTATAAACATTTGACAAATGTAGTTATCTTTTTATTAGGGTTGGTGACCAATTTTTGTATGTCTGTTTATCGATTTTTGAAGAATATTAAACTCGTACTTATTTTAATCAATAAATTACGACAATGTAATCTTTGTATTTACACAAAGTTGTGTCGTAGCGAGCCCGCACGCCTCAAAGGTCTGTTATCGAAGCAATTTTTTGTTAAATATAAGCAAAAAAAACGTAACTAATAATTTTTCTATTTTCCAACTGGCGGACTTAATAGAAATTCTTTATTTTTTACTTTGTCATCAGCCGTATTGTCGCCGAGATTGTTCCAACACAATAAGGGCGTTTGGATGATCTAAAAGAGTTGCTTAAATATATAGCTATATTGCTACTGGCTAGGGGTGGATCGTGGTTGCTTTTTCGATTAAAGAAACGAGACATTATTTTCACCGTAAACTAGTCAACTGTTATTTTCATGTGCATTTGGACTGAGTGATCCTTTTGCAATTTTCAACAAAAAACAAAACGTACATTTAGTCAAAATTTGTCAAAACTCATAACCGAAATCAAAAAATTTGTAACTCTTAAGCTATCGAAGATATTGCCCAATATGTGGATCACTCAATTCAGACATTAGAGAAAATGGCTACAAGCCGAATCTCAGGAAATACTTACACTGTGAATAAAATTTTTATATCAAAAAATTGTACAGAATTTGTCACATTATTTTGCAAAAAATCAAGATACTTCAATGTAAATCCAGGATTCTACGATAGTTTCAATGGATAACTCAATCCTGACGCATTTAGATTGAGTGATTCTAGAAATACGGTAATATGCTAACAATATACATATAACTTTTTTTTTTAACCTTAAAGAAACTTTTAAATATATTTGTACAAATTAATTTCTCACCACAAATGTTTATAGTTAAAAAGTTATGTCCAATGAAAGCTTTTTAAATTTTCTGAATTGAGTGATCCTTATAAACGCATATAGATAACCAGGGCCGCCACATCTCCAAGTCGGGCCCGGGACCAGATTCTGGCCACGACCCCCCCCCCCCCCCCTTATTTCGTCGCGCCACTTTTACTAGAGATGGCTATGATAATTGTTAAAAAACTATTAAACCTTCTCTAACTCTACTTCTAACTAAACAATAAATCATTTATATTTCCTACCAAGATTCAGTATTCGAATAAGAACACTTGAGGGGGCTGAACTCTTACATCACTACGTTTTATTCTACATTTAATTTAATTCTAATCAAATAAATAAAAGAAAGTGTTACTTAAGAATTGAAAATTCAAGTATTTATAATTCCAACCAATTATTTAATTACCAAGTAATTACCAACGAATTATAAAACCATAAAAATGCCATAAATTAGCATGAAATGAAAATTCTATATCCAATCAGTCTTAGATTTTTTTATTTTAACTACTTTAAATACAATTATTGGTGAATAGAGGGCGTATTCAGAGAAGTTCCAATTTACTAATTCCTCAAAGGTACGATTGTGGCAGAAATTATGATTGACTAAATTTTATATAATCATTAATTAACTTTATTTTAATCATAAATAAATAAATAAATATAATAAATAAATAAATAATCTTATGGGCGGATTAAAAAGGAAAGTCTCTGTATACAAGATGGCTGAAGGAATTAGTTGAAACAATGATTAAATGAAATATAATCTTATTCGGGCCCGTCAAGTGTAATACAGTCTGTTTTATATAGGCCTAAAAATTCTAAAATACTTTATTTACTAAATACAGGACCGGACCGGGCCCCCTTCTGGGTCCGGGCCCGGGGCAATAGTACCCACTTGCCCCCCCTATGTGGCGGCCCTGTAGATAACAACCCCTTGTTTTAATGTTGTATACAAAATACGTTGAAAATTTGTACAACATTGTGACTAAAATTTGGTATATAATTTATTTAATTATATAATTTATCGGACGGTAACTAGTTAGTTGACGTAGTTCATTAAACGGTTTTCAGAATAAACTAGAGACAACTTTGCTGTCGTGGACCCGACTACGGTTCAGTAAATATATGGACGGTAAAAATGAACTACCTTTCATACTTTTTCATTCTTATTATTGTTAAAGTTCAGAATTATTTATTTATAATATTTAATCTACTAATATCAGATCATTACTTGTCTTAATTCACCAAATTAATAAAACTGATGATAACACAATCGAAAAAAATTAAGAAGTAGGATACTTGCATAATTAAATCTTAACCTACACCATCTGCATTAGAATCAAAAACGGATTTTTCATTTTAATTGCAAAGTTCAAATGTGTAGGTATTTATTATAGAAAAGTAATCTACAAGCATAATAATTTTTTGGTCACCTTATCCACTACGCTACCGAGCTACTCGCTCGCTAAACACACGGAAATAAAGTCGGCTCTAGACCGTTCTAGTCGCGTTGGACTGTTAAACCAGTTTATCAGTAGACCGTAAACTAGTGTATCAGTCGATACCCAATAAACAGTCTGAAAAAATTAATGGTTCGTTCATTCAACGCCCACGCCTACTGCTGGTGGAAATATTTTTGGAGCTATAGAAAAAAATATATGCTAAATTATTCTTATAAGCATATTACCATTATTTTTTTCTTTCGACTGTTTCAATTTTTGTGCCTGATTACCTATGTGGATTAGCTTGGCAAATATTATCTGACAGCACTCTTCGATTTTGAAATGAATTTTTTAATCCACTTTGTCCCTTAAACTGGAAATAACCATTATTAAACAGTCCATTGCGAAATAGGAACAAATAGCCAATTTACGTATAGCTTAGGAGATAGGTGAACAAGTGTTTGTGGCGGTGCTGAGCTGACGTCAGCGTCGGTCCCACGCTATATCTTCTAAGCTATGACACTTTAAAAGCTCATTCTCATAATATATACGTCAAGTTATTTAAGCATGAATTCATAAAACATTGAAACTTGACATCCTGAATATCCACAACCACGAACTATTTTAATCAAATGTTCTAGTCTCATATTATTTTGATGAAATACTCTTAAGTAAATGCGTAACGCCTGCCGATTTGTGATTAAGTTGTGTGTGTTTTGCTATGGTTTTACAATCGGGATAGTTTGCCATCTGCTAATAGAATAAGGTAAGCGTTACGCTGTTGACTTTAGTAATTTATTGCCGTTATGTCTCAGACTAGTAAAGGATTAAATGATAATTGGGCAGTTTTTTGGAACTCTTTATAAGTACAGAGTCCAAGCTGTGCCGCTGCCATACTGAACGAAGCCCAGCAGCGCCAGAAAGAATCGTTTATCTCTAAATCTATTTCGTTACTGACTGAATTATGAGAGTACATGGATCAAGAATTAATTTCAAACTCAAAGGCGGTGCTGCCAGCCTAAGTATATTATGGTGATAACCCATACATCGATCAGTGTCAAAAATTCGGAATATATGTAGCTGAAGGCATGTTGCAATTGAGTTTAATAGAAATCATGTACCGATCAAATTTCAAAGAATAAGATTTAACTTAAGTGTATTTTTTGTCATCTATGATATGAAATTTAGTGAAACTTGAATCAAAAGGATATTGATCGTCATCATCTGAGGATTCTTGTAGATTTAGAGGTACCAGTGATTCCCTTGATGTAGCTAGATACGGGTAGCCAGACAACGTGGAATCTAAGGGATGGTAGTATTGTCTATAACAAAAGTAGGATGAGACGAATCCCAACACTGAACCGACGGTAATGTCCTCCCAGTGATGATGGTGGTCGCAGATCCGGCTTATGGCTACCAGAGATGCCAACACAAGTGGTATCAGACAAGCAGTTATTCTTATTACATCTCCACGATTCCAAGACAGCACTCGCAGTCTTCCGCATAACCATATACTCAAATAACCCATAGAGCAGAAAGCAAAACTGCTGTGACCACTAGGGAACGATTTCCGGCCTTCCATAACGTCCTTTATGTTTGGATTTCTGAAACTCTTTATGCCGGTTGGAAAACAACGGTAGAAATAATCGGGTCGTGGTCGACCTACTATAAGTTTTGTCACCTCCGTAATAAAAGCGTTTATTGTAAGAGCTAAAGTCCAGGCCAACAATGATTGCACAGTATCTTCATACTTTCCTGTCAGAATGTAGGACAAGGACAAAATCATTAGAGGAACTAAAACTATAATGATAACCATGGCCCAAGGCGGCACGTAAGAGTCTCTTCTAGGTCTCATATAGTTAGTAAGTTCCGATTCGGTTATGTGGTGTACATGTGGCTTCACTTTAATTTGTAGAACACAAACGAAAAAAATAAGCGTTACTCTGAGAATTATCTCTGTTAATAGGTTTGGTGTTCGAGCCCTGATACGTTCTAGTTCTATCCACATAACTTACGCACGTACTCTATGTATAAACTGGTTCTTAGAATATTTAAAATTTTTGGTTTTGATCAGTTTTGCTTGACAAACTAATCTATGGGCAGAATCAAGGAGTAAAAGGCGGAATACTTTGTCGTGAGCGCATACCAAACAGATTTTATTAGTTTAATAGGTCGTACCAAAAATGTGCAAGAGTTTTCTAAAGCTTGATATTTTAGTACGTTGAAGCACTAGTATAAATCACTCAGTACCCAGTTAGATGCTGGACGAGGAAATCCGCAATTGATAACAGCTTCGGGGTAATGAATTCTGTAATTAGTTTATGTTCTTCTTTTTACAAACATTATCAAATATAAGCAGGAAAACAAGATTTTTTAAATTTCTTTTTTAAAATCTCATGTCAGTGTATGGACAAAAGAGGTATGTTAAAATAATATTTTTAAATTAAATATGTACATTTAGGTACTGTTGACGCGGTAACGAGGTATCGTACTCCATACGAGTGGATCGTAAGAAGTTTAGTTATATAATATAACGAAACGTAAAGCATAGCAACTTGTTAGGTAATTTGAGAAGCTCGAAGCTAAGTCCGATGTGCGAAGACGCGTTTGCATTGAGAATTTGTGAATGTAACTTTGGTCATGAACTTGTGTTCACCAAGTTTCTGTGCGACTGTAAATTATAGCAAATAAAATAAAACTGCTGAGTAGATTGTTCAAAATAAAATGCGCCGGTTGAATGAGCTGTCTTTTTATTTTAGTACAAAATAGAATAATAACAACAGAACACTGTCACAACTATTTGATATATATTTAAGATTGTTTTTCTATTACGATTAATTTTTTCAGCAGTTTGAAACAAAAATATTTATGTATATATAATCAACTTGAAAATAATGTATTTTTATTACATAGGCCAAATTATTATTTAAAGTAAAAATTAAATGCATTACGTACAGAATAAAATAATTGTTTTTAATAAAAGAATATTGATTCTTTAATTTCATTTCACTCATTAATTTTATATTATTTGATAGCTAATATAATTTTGAGAAAATCTAATAGAATGGCCGAAAGCCAGAAACAAAAAGTCATCTACGAAACATAGATATTTATAGATTAATACACAGAGCAGTACCTACGTGTAAAAAAGCCCTTTTATAATAAAAATTAACTATGATTGAAAGAGGTCAAAAGTTTGGCCAAGGCACAAATATCTGAGGCACAGGGCACTGTTACATAAACGACAGCGGAAACTCCCACTCTAAAAATAAAAGTGAACGTATCCACGTAATCGTACTCATATAATTATTTCAGTTGTAAACACAACGAGATATCTCCTTTGACTAGATTTGAGGTGATGGAACTCTTACGTGCCCATTATGTCAGCACTAGTCAGCAAAACTGAGAATATTTTTAACTAGCCGATGAGCTAGCAACAGACAGTACCTTATCAAAGTACCTACTACATATATCAATAAAAAAATAAAAACAAACGACCGCTTAAGGTGCTGGCTGGTCCTTCCATTTTAAAATATGATTTAAAAAATCTAAAAACTGCAATTTTGATTTGATTTATTTTTTAAATTATTTTGGTTTCAGCACTCGAACCAAACAAAGTGAAGCCAAAGTGATCCTTCTATGACTCTTTAGCGCCAGTGGATCTAACTCTTATTAATGTTTGGAGTCCGTTTAATTAATTGCTTGTGCCACTGAAATGAATTTTCATATACTGTCCTACCATATAAATTATCGAAATTTACCCGTCAAGCAAAATCCAGATATAAAATCTTACGAGACAGAAACACTTGTTAAAACATCAAATTCACATTTAAATCGAAATTTATGACATATGTACTTTGATGGTGTAGTCGTTAGTACTTTCAATCTACTATTGTGGACTTTAAGCAACTTTCAGCTTTATTTCTCGAACGTGGAGCACGTTGAGCGTTCTATGTCCTCGCTGAATATGCTGTCTTACGTCTCTATTTCACTGTGATCGCGGGTTGCGATAAGACTTCTTGTCCTGATTGATTCTATCCCTATGGATGACATATATTCTAACAAACAAAGTGTAAGCATTGTTTAGATATACAAAGTTTTCTCTTTTTCACTCGATCTAAAAATTACATGACAAGAGAGTTATGTGTAACTCAAAAAAATGGTTATAAGTTTCTTACTAGTGAGGCTATAAAGGGTGGATTTTAATACACCGTTGAAGATGATATACTATTTAATATTAATAGTGACAATAATTTTGCTTACTTTGTGATCCAACATATACTACCCATCACTTATTTCAGTCAATCCACTCTAACGTACGGTTACCTGGAAAAATTGCTTTTTAGCGATAAGGTCACATTGTATTGTAAATTTATGCTTGTATTCACGTTTTTCTTTACGGTGTACAATAAAGTGGTCATTTATTCATATTTCTAGATAAACCTGATATTAAAATATATCATCTGTTATGATTTCTGTTCATAATAAACGCTAGAGTTATCTAACGTAATGGTTCTTGTAATTTTTCAGAAATAATGTAATATCTAATTAATAATGCTACCACTTTTGCGTGAGACTGTCCAATGTGCAGTATTTTTAACTGACGCCGGGAAGTTCAATGACAATGAACTGCTTATCGCTGTTACTTTTTTATTATCTCAATGCGCAATTCTAAGTTTCAATTGTAAACATAGTGTGTGGTAAATTAGTTTATAAATTAAACCAATGGCACATTAATTTATAACGTGGATAATGGGTTTAAAACTTGTTTTGAAAATCGTAAAATCTCGTCTTAATGAGCGCCTATGAGCTTAAAAGACCCCGCATGCAAAATTTGAAACTGCTAGCATTTGTAGTAACGAAGTTTCATACAAACTTTCATCCCCTAATTTAGCCCCATCGGGGTGGAATTTTCAAAAATCCTCTCTTAGTGTTCCTCTACACTCCCTAAGGAATCTTCAGGTTTTATTCGATTGAACATGACAGCGCTGAGCTGACGACGTCGAGCGGTAGTATTTTACATACTCTTGTCGAGTTCGAGGTTGCTTTGTTAGTAGTATAAGTATTACAGGTCGAGAACACTTGGATGCTTTGCGTTGACATCTTTCATACGCCGAACTAATCGCTTGACCGCATTTTGTTGACCATAAAAGTCAATGTAATGGCTACAGGCATAATACAATTGCAGCGGCATCGGTCAGTAGGAAGCAGTTAAATGAAACAAGTTAAATTATACAATACTCTAAAACTATGCATAGAATAAAAAATGTGTTTAACAGAGTTGCTTCATTATTTTTTTGTAAATATCACGTATTTTGTTAACCTTATGACAATATTTTTGATTTCGATTTAGGGATAGAATTTTCATAATAGCTGATATATGTATTACACATTCTTTGCCAGCACCCAATAAATAAAGTTATTGTTTCTAACTTCAAAAATAACTGAGCCTCCATTTGACTCTCTTGGAACATGAGTGTTCCTAATAATCCTTCATCAGTGGTTGTCTATTCCACAAGATAACTCTAAGGACCAACGAAGTGTCCAACTTTTTAGCTGACGCGCATGATAATTTACGCTCGGCGATAATGAAGTAAAGAATAGTTCTTTTATATGTTAATGTAGATACCTGTAGACGAACATAGTGACAGTGAAACTTCATTGTCGATAAAAGTTTCGGTATTGTAAAAACGTACCAGATTTATAGGTATCCTTAGTACGAAAAAAAATTGTTTATGAACCAAGAATGGTTTATTGTTTTCACATGATCAAATAATTTTTCTCTCCGCCTTCAATAGAATTTACATAAATACTCATGAGCTTTTCGAATTTCAAAAAATAATTAATGTATTTTTATCATCTCGATAACACTTAAAAATGTATTGTAGTTTATGAATAACAATTCAATTAATGGGAACGGTGATAGAAAATGCGTTACACATCTCTTCTATGCAGTATAGCCATTAAAAAAACGGTGTCCCTCTCTATGAAAGGTAATTAATACGAGTATTAAAATAATTAATAATTAGATTTCATATAAATTAAACATATGTATCTAAATTCCGAGTTTGAAAGTCAATTTACTCACGCACAATAATGTAAGCTCTTATGAGGTAAATGTCTGTCAGACACATTCTCCACATCCGCGTTAACATCTTGACCCGATCATTGAACGCGAAGAAATATTGCGTAATACAAACATTATTTACTTTTGAAAAATATAGGTATACAATACGTAATAGGGGATAAACATCAGATAGAAATATGTAAAGATTTTATAAATTTTCAATTATATATATTTTTTATTATATTGTTTCAATGGAGTTATTTGCTTTTTTAAATTATGAGTAATATTTTTTGTTAGACTGAAGAGAATAAAGTTTCAAGATAATTATGTTACCTCAACATATTTGAGTTGTCGATTAAAAAAATATTATACATGCAGTTCAATGTACTTCATAAGGAAAAACGTCGCGTACTTACAACGCGAAGAAATTAGCATCGTAACCAGAGATCGTAACAATCCATTATAAATTTTTCTCATAGTACCGGTTGAATATGAAGTTATCATTAATGAATTCATTTTGAATTAAAAAGTAAAAGGCTTGCGGATGAATAAGAAACATATAAAAATGTAATGACTAATAGCTTTATAATTTTTTTATTTTTAAATATTTTATTATGAGTACGAAATTCATCAATTCACAGATAATAGTGATATTATAGAAGGGCTCCTCTTATATACCACTATACCACTATTATCAAAACAAAAATGTGCAAGGGTAATTGTTTATACTCCAGTATGTAGAAGTACTAGGGGTTTACGAATGCATTATAATAATAGCGTAGAATATCAAACTTCTAGCGATTGCTGTGTGTGCTTGTTTCACTTAGCAAAGGTTTGAATAATCTTAACCAATGAAAAGAACAGATTTGGAATTTCAGAGTAGTCCGATTTTAACCTTCTTTATTTAATTGGAAGGGTAAACTCCAATGATCTTCATCAAATAAGAGAAGTTTATTCTACTTTTTTATATTTATATTTCATTTAAAATTTATATCTTTTATATCACAGGCTCACAGCGCGCCGCATCCACCTTGTGGTTTAGCATCGGATATCCACACTGGGTACCGAGCCAAGGTAATGAGTGACCTATATCATTACTACGAGCTCAGTAGCCGGGTTGTTCGCAAGTTGGTTTCAAGATATTGTTATCTCTGAAGTCCCAGGTTCGATTCCAGGTCGGGTCAATGTAAAAATTGACTTTTCTATATTATCCATTGAGATAGCCTAGCATCGGCTGGACGTTGTAGTACCGTCGGCGTCTGAGATACTCCATAAAATAGGGGAATTAGCTACTCCTCTTGGAATTTCAGCAATGTGTGCGATGTTGTCTAATATTACTTATTTATAATTATTAACTTTACGTTTCATTATCAGCCTATTAATTAATATATGGCTAAGGTATGGATAGAATTATATCTATTAGCAGAATCTGTCATTAACTAACGTGACCATTTTTTCTTTGGGAAAACTATGAAATGCTTCTGAAATTCAACGTAATTTAACAATGTTTTAATTCTATGACTATTTGTGTGCTGTATAAACAGATATAGATTTTTGGTAATTTGTATGTATAATTTAAAAATAACCAATCCCTTAATTTCCATATAATTAACATAAGATTAAATAATTAACGTATCATTAAACCCACTAATATAAATTGAAGGTTAAGAAAAACAATGTATTTTATTAATTTTAAATATCGTGTTTCATATTAACATTACTGCTTAAGACTTATACAGTCGGTAGAAATAAATTAAATTTTATTTTTTAAAACGTCCTTGTTCGGTTCCCCCAATGAGAACTAGTTTTTTATGAAGTTTTTCTTATTATTATATTTGACCAATTTACAATGCTATACTGGAAAATATTTTTAATGTAAATCTTTAATAAATCCATTTTGTCCCTGATAATATGGGATCTCAGGGTACAGGTACTAAGTTTTTCTTTTCAATACAATCGATGTCATGGTGCTTAAGAACAGATCTTCATATGATCAGACTTTCTCCCATTGTCCGTTCTTGATGGTACATCTATATATCGTTAACGAGCATCGTACCACGAATTTTTTATAAAGAGACCAAATAAAAATATATGGGTTGAAACTATCAAAATATCTAAGTGGTTAGCGCGTTCAGCCTACGGTGTAGCTTTTTCAAGGACCGGTCATAAAATGGGTGACCAAATATTTATTTGCGAGTTCTTTTTTAAGGTACGATCAGCAGTTTTTGGTCCCAGATGCATCTGCAGTCGTTAAAACCTACCCGCACTGGGCCACCGTGGGATCATTCTCCCCATAACAATGGATTTGTCAATAGACAGAGAACCTAATACTATGCAACTTGACATTTTAATGGTTATATAAGAATACCGCGTAACTCGAAAATTGGTCATAAATGATTTGCGAATAAGACGAGACCTAACGATTTTTTTTCGGCATGCTTTCAACTAATGGTTGGTACAGAATATTTCAAAATTCCAGCACATTATTTGAAGAGTTCATTCATCCTACAAATCTTTTTTTAATTGAACCAACAATACATTTTTACAGTACCTATTAATTTATTTTTGCTATAACATCAATTGTAACAATTTATTGAAAGTTACTTAAAAATTTTATTCTTTTAGACTTATTTAATCAGTTATTCTAATCTGCTAAAAATACCGTCGGGATTAGAGGTTCCATTAGGAATCTACTTTTAAGGTAATCAGGTCTCTATTTCATGTAATCTCAAATGGATTCGCAAAGCTGTTTTAAATCTCTACTGAAAACTTATGTTTAAAAAGCGTAGATAAATTTATTAGGTAATAAAATAAAAAAAAAACATGCAGTTAAACCACAATGGGTCATCATGTTTAAATTAATTTATTGGGGTGACAGTAATTAAAACAGAGACGAGGAAATACACATATTTTTTAAGCGCTACAAGCTTTTCAAGTCAATTGCTGTTAGAGAAAATTTTGATTATAAGTTTTTTTAAATGTTTCTAATTTATTTATTTACGCTTTTGCACAAGTAAAAGCTACTTTTTTTTTAAACTTAATTTTATTATGTTTTTGTTTTATGCCTTTTTATTATATTATATGTGTTGTTATTCTCATAAAGATGGATCTAAAAAGCCCAAACACAATTCAGTTGCGCCATTTCATTATCAAGTTCCAGCTTCACATCAGCTTACTGAGACCATATATTGCATTGTCATCCGACTTACATGTCTATGCAAAATTTCAAATCTATCGGATATTGGGAAGTGGGTCAAATTTGAGTTCCAAGATTGCCCACTAACTAACATACTAATAAGGCAAGATAAATGAAATCTTGTAAAACTGATGATTATGGATTTGACAACATTGTTGCCAAATTATTTGATTGTCCACAAAAATATACGTTCAAGGAGTAAAATGAAAAGAAATAACGCCATAGAATCGCCAGTAATATATTATAGTCATGGTTAGTGAGTTAGGCTGTCGCATCCCTAGTAGTTGTTTAATTTCCTATAGGAGTCAAAATCAAAATCAGAATCAAAAGCAAATAAGGGTTGAGTACTTATTACTTCAGAATGCTGACAGAATACTTTTCATGTTTCTAATAATGATCAAAGAGTGTGAAATTGCTTAATAGAAATATCTAGCTAATGTGTTATACGCTTCTCACCACAAATGCATCAGTGAAGTTAATTACTCTTAAATTTTATGTAATAACCAACTTATTATTATTTATAGTATCAGATTCACTGATTAAATTGTTATATAACTTTTAAAATACTTTCTTCCTCATAAAATAACCTAATTTGTAGAAATTTATATTGTATATGATATAGGACTAGACGGGCAAACGATTTGCGTGAGTGTTGCTATAGGTTCGAGAAACTATTCATTATCAGCATACTTTGTATCAGGAAGTTATAAGGTATATATTATGGGGTAATGAACAGTAGAATCGATGCTAAATTATGGGGGACGTAATCTGTAATTATGTAGGCACACTTTATATGTCCTTTACAAGATGTCTATGGGAGAGAAAAGGAATATTATTTCGATAGCCAAACTAAATGTGCATTACTATTGCAAGAGTATTGTGTAAATATTTAACGAAGTGTATATATCAAGGGAATATTTAGATGGGGCTGTCGAATACATAGGTAATTTTATTTTCTTCTTTTTAATAAATCTAGATCGTTAGCTAGTGAATATAAAATATTTCTAAGCTTTATTTTACCCAAATGAATGTTGTCAAAAAAGACTAATAGAGTAATATGCCAGGGCCGCCAGGCATTGTTTATTTTCTGTTGGATAAAATGTATCATGTTATGTATCAAAAGGTGGTGGCCAAATTACAGATGGTAATAAAGGTAAATAAAACATAATATTAAAAAAAGTTTATATTCACCACTAACATTAGAGAAGAATTAGTAGTGTTTAAAATTTATAATTTTTTATTCATTTAGAATGGGAACAGATCTAGTTACTTGTACTACTCTATCCAAGTCATTTTGTTCATTAAAAAATGAGTAATGTCTGGCGGTATGGGATCTTGGTTTTACTTATATAGGCTTAATATTATCACCAGAATATTATGTCCCCACTGCTGAGGCTCAGGCTTTCCCTATAGATGAATCGAAATAGGCCATGACCCACCATGAGGGCCCAGTGCGGATTGGTGGGTATTAACGACAGCTGCTGTCGTTAATACCCACCAATGGCACCACCTGGCAGATGCAGCCAGGACAAACGGCTTAAATTGCTTTCTGAATCCCCAATACATTTTTGGTCACCTATCTGTCCTATGACTAGCTGAATCTAAGAAACTTTGTGACCATCACAATGTTTCTTAGATTCAGTCAACTTTTGGCATGGATTTTCTTTTTGAATAAAGTTGATTGATTTTATTAATTAACACTAAGAACTTAGAAAGGTTAATTTTAATGTTTCAGTCGCATATGCGACTTAATATATACATGAAATTGTATAAGGTTTATAATAAATTGTGAACTGTGTTTAATAAATAACTTATTTATTTTATTCTTATTTTCATTGTCAATAGGCAAGTTGATGGTCACAAAAATAATGACTGTAGGTTAAGAATGAAATTATGTAAAATGCCAAAATATTTTTATATATTATATTATCAATATGTACCGCGATGAGAGTAGGGGTTGTGTACATTCACTGTCATATAAAAGCTGCGCAATGCCTGTATAGTCAAACAGTTGATACTTTCTGATCATCAGTGCAGTTGCAGAGGGGTCTCAGTATTGAGATCACTTCCCCTTGCAAGATGGCTTCCTACTTGGCTGTAAGTAGAAGAAGAGCATTAATTGAACAATCTACAAGTGTTAAATGTTTTTTTGAACATTTTTTTTTCTAAATTAGTATGTGGTAAATTGATGAGTTAAAGGATAATTAATAAAGGTTATTGTTTGAAATAAAATATAATTAATAACATTGATTAGGATAATAAACAGAGTGTTTCAAATTATTTTTTTCTAATGCCAGTGTGATGTATTTTTAGAGTAACGATAATTATAATATTTAACGGTGAAAGTGGTCGTACAGAAAGTTACAATTAAAAAGGCCTTGAATATTCATAGTGAATAATTTAAACTAAGGATGAGGTAACTTAGATAAATTTAAATCATAGACAAGTACTCATGTTACAACTTACGTCATTTAGAACATGAGATTCTATCTCGTGCACACACTGCACTGACCACTTTCGATTGCTAGCTTAGATAGTGGCTATCATAAGCTATAAATCTAAACTGCCTATTGGATCTATTGAAATGATCCATAAACTCTGTGATTTTATATTAGGTACCTACAGAATATACTAAATTGGTTTGTAATTATTATTTTCAGCTGAGCTGTTTCCTATTGGCTAGCGCTGGCGTCTGCTTCGCGACTTTTGGACATGAGCAGTTAGTATTTTTCTGTGTCCATTAATTTTAAAACCAGTTTCTTCATCCACATAAAAATGTCCTATTGTTTTGCAGTGTGATAATGACAATATTCTTTTACGTATTTAAATACAGATTAGCTGCGCTAACACACTTTGTAGACGACTAACCGCAAAAACTTGTGGATGGAGTAATTTGGTTGTGTTTTCTATAAGCTATTCTCACGCATCTCTTTTATTGCGGTATGCGGTGAAATTCAACCATTGTATTTAATGATACAGATTATACCCTTACACTTTGTTTTCACTGAAGTCACGTTTAACCTGCTGGCTCTGCGATCTATTGTTTGTTTAACAGTTTTCCATGATGATGCGGAAAGAGTTACTTTGTTTTTTTTTGTGTTTTGTGTTTGATGAATCTAATAAAAGTGTTTTGTTGTTGCAGTGTTCATATTCGCGTCCATATACCTGAAGAATCTCACTCGTCAAAGGAAGTGGTAGTTCATGAAGAACACCATGGACATGGTGGTGGCGGCGGTGGGTTCGGCGGCGGGTTCGGGGGCGGATACGGTGGCGGACACGGAGGCGGCGGCCATGGAAGTGGACACGGCGGAGGAGGCCTAGCTGAACATTTACACGGTGGTTTCGCTGACCACCTGAAAGGAGGCCACGGTGGATATGGAGGCGGTCACAGTGGTGGTCACGGAGGTGGTCACGAAGGAGGTCATGGAGGAGGTCACGGCGGTGGCTACGGAGGCGGAGGTGGCGACCATGGACAGACTATAATTATTAGCGGTGGTGGTCATGGAGGTCATGGTGGAGGCCACGGTGGACATGATTTCGGAGGCCACGGAGGATCTGGAGGACATGATTTCGGAGGCCACGGAGGATCTGGAGGACACGATTTTGGAGGTGGTCATGGATCAGACTTAGGAGGTCACGGAGGCTTTGATTTAGGTGGGGGCCATGATATCGGCGGAGGCCATGGTGGACTCGGAGGTGGCCACGGCGGTGGTTTTGGAGGTGGTCATGGTGGAGGATTTGGAGGTGGATTTGGAGGCGGATTCGGCGGAGGTGGACATGACCACAGTCATGATATTGGCGGCGGACACGGAGGTGGATTCGGTGAGGGTGGACATGACCATGGACATGATATCGGAGGTGGACTCGGTGGCGGATATGGAGGAGGTGGACATGACCACGGCCATGGTGATATCGGTGGTGGACACGGCGGATTTGGCGGAGGTTTTGGAGGAGGATTCGGAGGTGGACATGATGATCATCATGGTGGCGGTGGACTCGGCGGTGGTATAGGCGGCGGTCATGGTTTCTCGTCTGGAGGCCATGATAGCTACAGCGGTGGAGGAGGCCATGGATTTTCATCTGGAGGCCACGACAGCTACAGCGTTGGTGGTGGTAGCTTTGGATTCTCATCTGGTGGACACGACAGCTACAGCATAGGTGGAGGCGGCGGTGGTCATGGCGGTGGGATTGGCGGTGGATTCGGCGGCGGTTTCGGAGGTGGTCATGACAGTCACGGATCTGGCGGATATGGTGGAGGTCATGACAGTTACAGTATTGGCGGCGGCGGTGGACACGATAGCCACTCTGGTGGTCATGGAGGTGACAGCTACAGTTTGGGTGGTCACGGAGGCGGGTTCGGAGGAGGTGGTCACGGAAGCGGGTTCGGAGGAGGTGGCCACGGTGGTGGATTTGGAGGTGGTTTCGGAGGTGGTCACGGAGGCGGTCACGGAGGCGGTCATGGAGGAGGCCACGGGGGTGGTCATGGGGGTGATAGTTACAGCGTAGGATTCGGTGGAAGCGGCGGTGGGGCCCATGGCGGCTTCAGCCTTGCGGATATCGGAGGAGGTCATGGTGGTCATGGTGGGCACGGAGGTGGCGGAAGCGGTCATGGTTTCGGTGGTGACAGTTATACAAACGCCATAGGAGCCGGTCACGGTGGTGGCCCTTATCGTAAGAAGAAATAAACGATCAATGAGACTACATAACAAAACCAACTAAGTCATAGCCTTCAATTTTTTATGGTCTGAACCATGAGTACAATTATTTATACGTTCGTTGTAAATAGATACTAGTTATAAGTTATTGTTATCTTGTTTTAGTAAAAAAATATAAAATGAAGTAGTCTTTTTATTTCATTTTGAAAATAATAAATAAGTTATAATTTCACCGATGATGAACGCAAATTACACCTTATGGTACGCTTCATCTGCATCGGGCTAGCGTGGAGGGTCATGGCCCATTCCCCTTTACCATCCTTATGAAAAAGCCCATGCCGAGGGGACGCAAAAGAGACACCATATGGAATCTGTTCAAAATAAATAACTGAATTTCTTTTAGGATAAAATGACCCACACTCACGAATCTAAAATGACTTCATTATTAAGTCATCGTTGTATAACTCTAATCTATTCTTGTAGGTGTAAATATACAAATGAAAGCGCCGGGATTTACCCTGTGCTTGTGCAATACACTTTCCGTAGACAAAAATTGTTGCGTCCTAATGCGGATGTAGACACAATTGAGTTAATTAAAATTAATTAAATATGTAAAATTAATCAAATTCAGATGTAATTATTTATTTACGCTGACTACATAAGACACGGTAGCTAACGAATGCTTGTTATATCATCAGTACTAACAATAAAAGAGTTTTAATAATATTTAATTTTAAAAGTTATATATTAAATGTTAATAGGTGTTTCCCACGACTTCGCCCACATAAAAAATTAGCTTATGTCACCCGCATATAATGCAGCTTCCCTAGCAGTTTAGATAATTGTATGAGTAGGACATGCACACTCAAAGACGTTTAAATGTCTGTGTATGCATAGTTTTAAAATTATTCTATGTCTGAGGTTGTAAAAAGAACAACATTTATTGTAAAACAAACTTGTAAATAAACAAACAATAAATTAAATTTTTCCTTTTTAGATCTACACTAAATATAGTTATAGGTAACAAATGTTCTCATAATTGATTGGTGATGAACTATTTTGTATATGTTAAACAGATCTTCATTAACTAATTGTGTCAGTGACATGTGTTATCATATCAGTATTTGTAGAGTCAGGTAGACAATGGTGGCAAGGATTTTTTAAGAGATTGGTCCATGAAAAATAATCAATGGAATAATTGACCCAACAAAGCAAATATTACATTGCTTGAGTTTCATTTGTAGGCGATAGATTTGCTATTACTTTCACTACCGCTACTTAGTACGCGCTAGTATATCGTGTCAGTATCAATACAGTAGCCATATCATACACCAGCCCAGTTGACAGATCCTCTGTGTACAGGCAGCTTAGTAAAGAACGTAGTGTGAAAACCGATTAAAATTATCTAATAGATTATTGGATTCTTATAAACCAAAATATCTTGGTGATAAAGAAAAATAAACACTTACCTGGTGTATGTAACCGATTCCAAAATCGAAAAGGAGCAAGTTCTATGTTTTGGAATTAAGATTGAATTAGAACGAAGCACCGAAACTGAAAAGGAGCATTAGCTGTTAGTATTAAGTTAAAGAAGCGACTAAAATATTAATTATAAAAAAGAACCTCGCAATAGTAAAAAGATCAAGTAAAACTTGCCTCAAAATATTAGTAGTTAGTGCATAATTAGATACGGAATGATTGACTTAGAGACATAAATCTTTCTGTTTAAAGGACATCACATTCGAGACAATATTTAATTTACTATTTTTAGTTAATGTGCCGATGGCTTCATTTCGATTACAAATTAAACGCCAATAACCTTTTGCTAAACAAAGTTAACCTATTCAATGGCTTAGTATTTTGCAAAAAGATATAGAAAAATATGAGGTTTCTACAACATATGTATTTTATTCCCGTATTAGTGGTGAAATATGATAAATTTGTATAACTTGATGTTCTGTTAAATGATAAATATTTATAGTTATATTATTTTTAAGGCTTGCCATTATAGCTTTAGGTCGTTTTCCATATGATAATCTAAATGTCAGATCTTTATATGTAGATTTTATTTATATTAGATACTGGCTGTTTTAAGCTACTTTGCGCGTATAAATTATATCCTACTCATTTATATCACCAGCGTATAATGTGAATGATTTTTTAAAATCGGTAGTTTCGAAATCTATTCAATGCAAAGAAACAATCAAATCATTTATTAAAAAGTCACATGATCGTTACCTCAATAAATAAAAATAAACAACTGAATTAAAGCAAATATTCTTGTTTTTCCTGTTAGAAGCGTAGTTATTTAAGATGACGTCATACGTCAATATGTCAATGGACAAAAAGCTTTGGTTCCGCGGTCATTTTGAAACTCTACCTACACTTATTCGTTATGTAAGGGTCTCCGATCGCCCTTCACTCGTGTTAAGCTTTCGTTCAACAAATCTTGACTTACTTCCTCTAATGCCATAATAACTTTATACTCCTACAGTATCTATAGAGTGGCTATTTAAAATTCTTTAAGAATAGAATTTTAGCAGCGCATAATATTGATCATATATAATATAAATATGTTATTTACCACTTAACACTTTTTAAGCGTATTAACGAACACAAAGTATAATACCTTCTTATGGATGGAAATGAAATTGGATCGGGAGAATGGACTAGGCACCTCCATGAGGGCACAATGTATATTGGCGGCTGTTAGTGCAGGTGCAGTTGGGCTCAAGTTTACTTACCTTCCAAAGTACGAAGGCACTCAAATAATACTCGTACATTTTAGTCACCGATCCGACCGACCGATCTTTATGAAAGTTGCTTTGCCTCCATATCGCAGAAAGCGCTAATCGTTGCACCATCGAACTATAGTATTAAAAGTATTCAGTAGATAGTAACGCCTACTTCATCCATCTAATACTTAAGAATCCTTGCCTTGATATACTGACTGACAGACAACGCATAGCACAGCACAAACCAGAGCCCAAAATATTGGTCGTAGATACTTGAAATTTGGAAGTATACTTGAAATATTTTTACTTAGTAGTATACTAAGAACGGATTTTGAGAAATTCCACTCTGAAGGGTTAAAGAGAGTGAAGATTTATGTATGAAAGTTGTTTGTCTTTGAATTTAAAGCCAAGAACACTGATATTTAAGTGGTTAAAAATCATGCGAAGGTAAAAGGTAATAGGTTATAGTTTATCCAGCATTTAAAGGAATAAAAATTAGAGTGGAGTTTATTGTAAGGAATCAAAATGTCACTATAGCATATAATGTTTACTATTTGATTTGTCGTAATAATTCATATATTAAGAGTTTATTTACAGCGATATCACGATGAAAGTTGATATTGATATTGACTGTTGACTTTATAACTATAACTGCATTTTTGTTTCGCACGTTGAGAATGACAATGTCACTAACCAAAAATGACGTATTTTTTACTTTTGGCAACATATTTCATTATTAAGTATAAACTTTAAAATGCAAAGATCCCTGTGAACGATACGTTGTTTAGAGGGGCGGATTACAATTTCTTGGACTTTAAACGCTCATTACTGAAAATCGCATTTTTTCATTGTGTCACTATCGTTCTCAGATGATATGAAATTTAAAATAAGTTGAAAATGTTCAAGTCAATACTGATATTATAATAGACTATTTTAGAATGTTATAATAGAAGAAATATTTAGTTGATTGTTTGCATTGCTCGGAAATAGGCTCGGAAACTACTGGACTGACGTACACCTACGGAAAGCTATACCAGACGCGGTGACATAAGCTATAATATACGCGGCCAAAGTGGCGGAAAGACAGCTAGTAATTATTGTATTTAAATACCTATTAAACACATGATTGAGAAAATCTTTCACGCTCGTGTGTCTTAATATACTGAAATATTTTTTGGTAAGACCTAGAATAATAGCAAAAATATATGTTATCTATGTCACTCTTTAAACTTCCAATTAATTGCTGGCAAAAATCAAACCAAACATAAGAGAGACATTTGTCTTCTTCTATATAAATTATTTTAAAAATATCTACATGTAAATTGTTGAGTTTCGATATAAAAATACAGTTTAGTTATTGATCTAATTTTATATATATATATATCTCTAAATATAGTACCTAATTGTCTAGTAAAAGCTTCGCTGAGCAACGTGTTGCCTACAAAGTCATGTTGTAGTTACGTAAACTAAAGCCGGTTGTCTTACTTATACATTTAAGGAGATAAAATTACTAACTTCCTACATGAAAACAACAGATAAACAAGCCAATGGTGCTGGTCTGTTGTACGGTTATATCACACTCTTAAATATACCTAGTTATTGTTCTCAAAACACATTTAATTCGTCAAAACGCGTCACGTTTTAAGAAGACGCCTTGAACGATAATTACTTTTTTCAACCAGTTTTATGCAAAAAATAACGTCAAAATAAACTGTAATAAAAAGGGAAAAGCTACATTAGGTATATATGTACCTAAGGTATTAAATTTACCTCTCACCAGGTTGTTAACTTTTTTGGTGACTATAATATTAAAGAAAATATAGAAAGATATGAATCATATTGAGCCCGTAAGCTTTACCGAGAACTTTTGCTGTAATCGTAATGCTTTGGGAGATATTAAACTTTTTTGCACACAGTACAAATGGCGGACTTAATGCCATTAGGCATTCTCTACCAGTCAACCGTAGAATTGTATACAGATAATATATATAAGTGATACCTATAGATGATATTATTGTAAACAGAAACTATTTTGATTCTTTGTTGTTGCTATAATAAGTATCTTATTAACGCCTTGTTCTCTCCCAGCTTTATCTTTTGGCTTTATGACCAGCCTTAATTCTAGTTTATACCTATACATAAATAACGCTTACTTAAGGTAATAAAAGTTTAAGAACCTACAACCATATACTTTTTAACTTCCATATACTTTAACTAAGTTTTGAACATTCTTGAATAAAGATCTTTTTACTTTATTGAGGTCAATTTTATGTTTTATTATTTTAAGCGATACCTATATTTTTCTCAGAGCCGATTGTCTACGTAACTACCGGACCGATTCATTTTAATTTAGTAGTATATGTAAATCGGGGACACAAAGACGGTCGTTGTTGGCCTCTTCTTCTAGCCGGAGACAAGTTATTAAACAAAAAAGATTTATATTATGTAACAAATCAAATGATAACGCTTATTGTGACGTTATCAAATACACTTCTTATTTTTGAACAAATAGTTTTGAAGTTATTTAAGAAAACGGATGAAAATTGGCCACTTCACCCTTGATGTTTGAAAAAAACGGCCAATAGTACATAAGTTAAAAATCAAAAACCTGTAAGTAGTCTATCACCCAGTTGCGCAAGCGTCCATTCAAATTGTCAGTACTCTAAAGCGACGTTACCAATTTTTTTTTATTTAATAGAGCTTAATTTCGTCTTTAAATTTTATTGAATGTTTATGTATTATAACTGAGTGTATGGAATTGAAATTAAATTTCTGTGCGGACCTGTTGGCCGATTTTTGTCTATTACCTGCTCAATAAAATATCATTAAAGATAATGATGTTAACATCACAGAAGTTCTAGGAAAGCAAAAACTACGATTAAATTTACTAACCTAATTCTTGTAGTCAAAATTTTTCATCCGATTTCGATAAAAAATGTATGGGACCATCTTAGCACACAGTTAAAATATGTTTAAATTGGTTTACAATTCGTGAAAGAAATCAAAGAGATACCTACCTAAAACAAAACATACAGTCGAATATAAAAGACTTTCTTTATTGATTTTGGAGTCGGTTTATCCGAATTTTTGTTGTTTTATTCTACATATCTTAAATAATCTTTAAAGGTATATGTTACCCGAATAAACAGAAAAAGCTTAACCATTTATACATAGTGCCTTGATGTAAGATGTGGTAGGGAAACTGTAGCCGTGTGAGTTATCTACGTAAATATCGTAAGGAGTTAAATCGTGGTTATAATAGAGAGATCATGTAATTACATAAAAAAATTGTCCTAGGTCTTATCCGCGACTTTGTCTGCGTGGTAAAGTTACTAGGGCAGCAATTGCAAAAACACTAAAAGCAATATTTATTTATTATATCGTATTAAATGCCTTAATTTATAGATTCATGGGTTTATATTTTACAATAAAGTATTTCCATATAATTTACGCTATCTATAATAGGGCAAACCAACCACTAGGGCATTACCAACTTCAATAGCATTTTCATGAAAAATTCAGCCACTTTTAAGATAAGTATTATTTCTCACTTTTTGAAAGCTCGAAACCAGTCTTTTTATTGGAAGCAAAGGGTCCTATTTAAAATATTACAACATAGTGCAAGACTAAGGAAAGGATATTTTTTTTATTTGCTCGATATATCTTTTGCTAATCCATTATACCTACTAATATTGTAAAGAGGAAAGATTTGATAATTTTTCTGTATGCGTTGTATACGATACGGAAAGAATGGGCCGATTAAAAAAAATCACCACGCAGGCGAAGTCGAGAAAAAACAGATAGTTCTTTAGATATTTCTTCACATTTCACGAAGAAATCTGTGAAAAGTAAGTTGACTTTACATAAAAAATAAACAAACCGTACATGGGTGAATATTTAGTTTCTTGAAAATTGGGTGTCAGGCGATACCTACTCGAGACTCTGTTTGTAGGGGACCAGCATCCCGATAAGAAGGTAAATGTCCTGGTGAATAGGTTACGGTTTCCCAGGTTTCATACCCCATGCCGTAGGAATTAAATGAAACAAAAATATGAACTGGTACTATTTTAAATACCAGGTGATATTTTAAATTTATTTTCATATTAGTGATACACTGCGAATGTTCGAGATGGCGCTTGTGTCAGACGATAGACGTTATTATGGAATGGACAAAATGGTCGACAAGATGTCAAATAAGGAGAAGCAATAGGATTTGACAAGGTTTTTGCGGAGATGATCATGTTAAATGGTGTTTAAATACGAGATATTTTGTGGATCTTATGTAACCTTTGCTGGGAAGCAAGAAGGCTACCGGTGAACTGAAGTTGAGCAGTCATTGTTCTCTTGTACAAAGAAAGACTTAGGTGTGGATTACAACAATTATAGAACCAATTAGTTTACTCGGCCTTGCAGCTGAAGTGTGCTAAAATCTTTGAAAAAAGAATGAGAATAAATCTGATAGAATTTTTGGAAAGTCTCAAGTATCAATATCGTAAATTTTATACTAAAAAGTTTTATAGCTTTATGTACTAAGGAGAAAACGTTTGATAAAAAAAGAAAATTCCGGGATATTCATGGAAATGGAAATGAACCCTGTTGCTGCGTGAAATACAGCCCACTTATGAGGTGTACGGACTATGATTTCGATAGTGTTTAATTAATTTTTTTTCTTTTGAGAAAGCATCTCAGATTCATAATTGATCTCATTTTCAGATTCAAATTATACATAATTTAACTAATACATTTAAAATAAAATAATAAATTTAAAATGCTGTTTTATACTGATATTATCCGAACAGTATACCATTAATAACAATATAATAACATTTACTTACTTTGATGAAATGATTAAGAGAGTTCCGGATGTCCATGAATAACTGTATTGATAAAAAAGAAATACAGATTTAGAGAATAGAATTAAATCTTAATTTTGTTATATATTTATTTCTAATTACATTATTAGATTTGATCAATATTCAGGAATCGGGTGTTTCTTTTACGAGATATTGGGTCTTAAAGATTATCAATAAATGGTAATAAGATTACGTGGTAATTTTAATTAGATAATCCGGAATGGTAATGAACCATCTCAGAGTGCCAGGGAAAAAGGAAAACGGATTTATTAAACATTTTCCATTAAGGAAATTTTTCTCATTGTTAATGTAAAATTGATCAAAAGTGAATGCAAAGTTTAAATATTTGTAGGAATATAAAAAAGCTGTTAGAGTAGACCACCTCGGACCCATAAACCGTCTTATAAAAAAAGTAGGCTTGTGTCCTCTCAAGTGAAATTTTTTAACTTTATCCCACTATAAATTAAAACTAAATAAATTTTATGCCGCTAATTTGGACAATATCACGCTTTGAAAACTTGAAAAAAGTAGGGAAAATATATTACAAAATTAACTAAAAAACAAATGGCATTAAATAAGTGACAATAAACATAACAACTTTCATCATAATAGCTATAAACATAAACGCATAAATAACAAAATTATTACAAAGGTTGCCCATACGTTTTTCAAAACAATGAATAGACGTCACTGATGCCTTGAACTTTTGGGAGCCTTTCGGTCGATTAGCAGCAGTTCGACAAACATAGCACCGTATCACCGAAACTTTTCATAGTAGACATGCTGTGACTTCAACATTATTTCTGAGATAGCAATGGCCTATTAATTTATAAAATAAATATAAAATTATCAACTAACCTGTTCACGAAAAAATCGGTGAGCATACATAATATGACCTGTTTCCAAAAATAAATCCGACTTCAATCTTAAAAAAAGTGATAAATAATACTTATCTCAAAAGCGACTTATATAAGAAAATAATGATATTCAAGTCGAGCGGAGGTTTACTGTAGGTTGTTAATTTAATGATAGGCGCCGCCGTAGGAAAGTTTTTATTTCATGCTTTTTGTATATATTTTTGTATAATAGGTAACACTAAAAATATTAAATATCTCTGTTAATAAAAATATTTAACATAATGAAAGTCTTACAAAAGTAGATTTTGTTTATTTGCTCAACATATATTTTGCCAATAATCTATACTCATATTATAAAGATTGCTTGTTTGTTTGGCTTCGAAACTATTGCACTGATTTATAAAAGTCTTTCATCTACGGGAAGCTATACTTATATGACGCGGGGGACATATACTATAATTCATGCAGGCGAAGCCGCGGAGAAATAGGTAGATTGATAGAAATCGGTTCATATTTCAAGAAGAAATCGTCGGATATACCTACTTTCATACAAATATATAAATACACTTTGAACAAAGATAATTTTTCTTTTGGATTATGAATGAAAAACAAAAGATTGCGTGTTTTGACACGCAATCTTTTGTAACACTAAAAATTAATATTTTGTTTTGTTATCAAAGTAAAGCTATTGAATTGATTTCTATTAAATTGAAATGGGACCCACTTCGGTTCATTAAGTTGTCGAATTTTAAAAAAAATTGATGAACAATTGAATATACTTAAAAAACACATCTACGTTGAACATTAACCACCTCCTTTTGGATTTTGAAGTCGGTTAAAAAGTAATTTTTATTTTAAATTATGTACTCGTATAACAGTGGTTGCTGTGGTAACATTTGATTTCCCGTAAAAACTTTCCATTTTCATTTTGGGATAAAATATTATCTTCCTGAAATATTAATATTGTTTTCATCGATATATTGTTCTAAAAACAATGGCGCTTCATACACACATTAATTTTAACCTTCTTCGGGGTATATGATCGTGCCCCGAATTCAAGTCTCTGCGACTAGCGATATAGGCTGTGCGTTATCTGTCAGTCAATTTATTTAAGTGCTTTTATAATAATTGAAAAATAAAAACAAACTATTCATTGTTTTAATTTATATTAAAGGACTCTTTTTACTAACACTTTCTTCGCCTTAGAATTCGTAAAATGCATGTATACCATTGTCGTTTCGCATCATTTATAGCTCATAATCAAATTAGATTATTAAAGCTATAACACAAAATTAAATAAAATGTTCTCATTGCAAAAGATAAGTTAGTACTATCTCACTCGCAGCTACGAGCATAACAATATGGAACTAAGATCACGAACCATTACTATATACAAAATAACTTACTAAAATACCACTAGTGTTCAAATTTTGTCACCATATTTGAGTTGCCCTCTCACATTTGCATCAGAAGCTGAGTTTTGCATGTAATTCATCTGATTATGTGGCCTGATGATCGATCGGTCATCATTCTTGTAATCCACAATCACGGAGTATAATCGGTGATCTTGCTCAGTGTTTAATTTATTTGTGTTTTTGCTCCTCTGTCTTTGTCTTTTCTCAACTTCTGTTAGGTCCGTTGACGCTGGGTTCGAGTTTGACATCTCGAAATATTGGGGTATAGCGGTAGTAGTCGTTGCTACAGGAGGTATATTAGGAGTAGTGGACTGTGGTGGAGCCTCTACGTATTGAAAGTTATCATTCGAAGCTTCGGGTGCAGATGCCTGTTCGTTTTGCATGGCTTTGACAGCCATGGCTGTGTAATATGAATGAACAGGTGACGACTCTTTAATCGTGTATGGTGTAGACGTCACGCCATTTGGGCCTCGAGTATCATCAAAACTGCTGAAACTCTCGAGGGCAGTGGGTGTATCGTCATCGTTTATTTCTGAGGACATGACACTCTCGTCTAAGTGATCAACTGTCGTTTGATGGTCTTTTCCTCCAAAATTAATATTTTGAGTTGATATAGACTTCTTCGCTTTTGTTCTGGGAAGAGTCAAATGATCTGATGAATGGACATTTGATGAGGAAGCAAAAGTGTCATATTCATAATTGTTTGCATAGCTGTCACCAAAACCTACAAAAGGATCTTTAAACTTTGAAAATCCCGATGGAGCAGAAGCCCCCGGGAAAGCTTTAGGTTGATAATCATGAACTATGGTTGATGATACTGAAAAAGGAGATGGTGCACTTTCTTGTCTGAATTCCGATACTGCCTGACCTCCATAAGAACGGGGCTTATGTTTTCCTAAAAGTTTAAATGACGGAATAGGTCTATAATCTTCTATATCCGTTTCAGACTGTGCAGCGTATTGGGAAATTTTTGGTCTCTGTAATTTCTTTAGTCCACTTTGGGGAGCGTAAATATTTTCGTAATAGGAAAAATCAGTAGGAGACGTTGGTTTCGCAGGCTTCGGATATTTATTTGCATATTTGCTTTTAAGCCGTTTCGGGTGGCTTCCACTTATTCTTAAGCCCTGGCTATTGTAAGAAATTTTCGGTGGTAGAGCTAATACTTCCTTACTAAAATCTACATCAGCCGGAATTTCCCCATGATCGTGAAATATGTGATCATGTGTCACGTCACGTTGGTTGTACGGAGAATAATCTAAATGTGACGATGCGGAAGCAGCTGATGCAAAACCGGTTAGGGTTTCTGGAGGAACAGCTACTAAAGACTGGCCATGAAATGGAATCAATGGACGCGCTAAACTTAGCGCTGACATACTGCCGACAGGATCAACGCCTACCAAACCAGGGAGTTTAGATTCTTCGTCAAATACGAGTTTATGTATGTGCTCTTCGCTGTAGGTATGGATATGTTCGGTATCTCCATCGACAATTTTTTCAACTCGTGGCGGTTTCCTAATTTTTCTTATAGTACCTGTTCCATCGACATCCGAATAAAATTGTTCATGAAAATTTGACACTGGATGTTCGTCTTCTGGTTCTGGCCGGGGTCGACTTCGCACAGGCGCACGTTTTGTTTTCGGCTTTTTGTTGATCTTTTTACGCGGTCCATCTTTAGCTTTGATAATTTTCACTCTACTTGGTGTTGGCGCAGGCAGATATGAATCCTCGGGTTCTGGCGGGGGAGCTAAATCGTATTCTTCATCTTCTACTTCTGATGGAGTAGGCCCATAGTAGCCTCGAGCACGATATAACGGTAAAAGTTTGGAAGCAACCGATGAACCTCCGGGAAACCGTGATGGTGCATCATCGTAGAGCTCCATAGAGTTGAGTGGTAAAAGGCCGGCCACTGCTGGTAGCGCCACGTTCGATGGTAATGCAACTGAGCCGTCTGCGCTCGGCAAATATGCCGGGGCATACTGAGACTGAGAAGCTGCAGCCGGATGATTCGTAATGTATATTTTCTTGTGATGATGTATATGTTTCACCTTTTGTGGGAGATGTATGCGTATTTTCTTTCTGAAACAAAAGCAAATTAGAGTGGCGGTATTCTAACGGATTTGTAGGATAGCATGTTTGCCGAGCGTAGTGTTTTTGTTCCGCTAAGTGTCAGTGGCTCGAGCGTGATGCGGTAGTGACTTTCCCTCTCGATGGCGATGAGACTCGCGTACGTACAATTGCCGTCACACATGATATATTTACTGAGTATTCTGATTTATAACATATTTAGTTTTTTCGCTGTTAATGCCTTGAGGTTCCACTTACACTTTCTAGACGGCAGGCGATAATTATGCGCCTGGTTGATCGCCGGTTCAACGTACAATTAGTGCGTAGCGGAGAAACATACAAATTAAGTCGCAATTGCCGACACAGTATCATTGACAATATTTACATTTTCCATCGCACAGCTTATAAAGGTTTTCGCTTGTCCAATTAGGAGACTTGCATATTCTATGCACTATGGTGAGTGCAGACGTCTACATTTGTTGACTCGTTCATTCATTTCATAGTGAAATATGCCAAGTTGTTTCTGTTTGTGAATGAATGAATCAACGACATTTTACGCCAGCGAAAAAAAAATTTTGGTCGTTATTATCTTGCATTATATTATACATTTTCCATTTATTGTGATTAAAATAGGAAGAAGCAGTAATTTTGTGAATTTTATCTTTGTTACTTACTTAGGTCCTTCAGCCCCAACCTGCACCGAAGCAACAGCTATCAGAAGAGCGAACTGTAGACAAAACACAATTAGGTTGGTTTATTATTATTTTTATTATAACTTTACACATATCACATGTCCCATCTCAGAGTACCAGGGATAAAATGGATTTCTAAGCATTTTTCATTAAGAATATTTACACATAATATTTCAAATGTAATAAATGCTATCTATCAGAGTGAACCAATCTGTCCGTAAATAAATTGCAGTTATGAACAACTGTGTTACGAATATTACGTCTCATCACATATACACGCGGCTGAGCATCGTGTAATGTAGTATTATAATTATTTGTAACATTATCATCACATCAGCCTATTAACGTGCCTAATAATGGCACACGGGTATTTAACGTTGGTAGAACGAGAATTGACTATAACCCACTACGGGAGTCTAGTACGGATTGGAAGGTTATTCAGTACTACAGATACAGACGGGATCTAAACGTGCTTTCTGAAGCACGAAGGAGCTCATGTATACAAATTTTTGATCACTCATGCTATCTAACTTGGGGTGCGAGCGCCTAACTCTCTAGACATATTCTACCCATATGATACGACATTTAAGCGAATATTATGACGATATTTCGTTTAATTTTACTACCTGGACATGTCTTTTGTTGGAAACACTGCCGTGAAATCATAATTCATCATTCTTTATTATTCGTGCTTAGTTGTTAAAGTACATGTCGAAATATTAAACGAAATTAAATAGCACTAAGTATATCATCGCAAAGACGTCGCGTCCGATGGGACCTATAGTCACGCGGTCGCTCTGTAGGGGTATGATATCTTAGTGATATTATATCGATATTTCTTTTCCTATGGGTTATGAAAGAGAGAGTTAAGAGAGTTAATTCTAAAGATGAAGTACGCATGGAACTTCTCAAAACCCATTATAATAAAAATTATCAAATATTGTATATAATTTAAATTTTATTTAAAACTTTCGTCTAGAAAATACTGAACACGCTTTCGTTTGGACAGTTACCAATACGCCAAATTACAAGAAACGCCATATATCTTTTTAGCTTTTTTTATTAACCTGATGGGCTTCCATACGTATGTTCAATAAACAAAATCCACTATAAATCATTAGTAATCTTATTTTAAAAATCCTAAATAAAGATCTTAAAATATTTTTTTTATGATAAAAATTGTATCTACTCGTATGAATATTTGTATATTTAAATATAAATTAGAAATCAATTAAATCACTTTTAATAAAATTTTAGGACATTTAGGTACATAAAACCCTAAGTAGTTTAGAATCTGCCCATATATAAGAAACAATTACCTATAGAAATAAAAAGTGCCTAACGAACTTACTTTTAATGAAAATAATCAAGGTAAGTTATATGTTTTACTGATTTGCTACATTTAATAAAATGTTTAGTTTTATAAGCTTTTAATTTTTATTTTTATAAGCGTGTTGAAATTATTGGTAGTGATCTTTACTTATAATAGATAGGGAATTTAAGAAAGAAAATATTACCACACGTACCAGTCTACAATGGCTTATACTCAAATATCAAGTAACGTTAAAAATAATTATAATATTCATAAGAAATATAAACCTCTTAGTTATTTAAAAATTAATACATGAGCAATTCATGGCAGCTCTTATTAATTTTTTTTTTGTAACCAAGTAACTCTATTCTTGTGATAAATATATGGAGATGTATTGTCTTTAGATTAGATGAATAAAAAAAACATACATCGCCGTCAAACATATAACCTCCTCCTTTTCGACTTTAAACTCGGATAAAAACTTATCGATGAATTAAAATTGAGAATAGGTATAGAAATATAAGGTTAATAGATAAAAAATATTTAGCAGTCTGTCTAGCAATAAAAAAAATCGTTATGTGCTAATAAGAAAGATGATTTTTGGACGTAAGTTACGCAAAATCCTTCATCAGAATTTAACAATGCATCATATAAACCCTATATGATTGTTAAATATTAACGTTTCTCTGGTCAACCAGTTGTTACTAACGCACACAATTAATTTCACCACCGCGCACTATCACTGTTGAAATCCTTTTTTGTCACAGTCCTTTTGGATTTGTCACCAATTCGTCACAGTCACATTTCACCTTATATTATATTAATCACAATAATTTACCGACCAATCGCAACCAATCCATAGTCGCTCTGTTGTCAACAGCCTCAGGACGTACAAAGTGAACAATACACTTTTCTTTTGTTTTTCTTTAGTCGATGCACTTGTCGAAACCGCACTGGCCTTCAAGCTCGTATGATAATTATCCGCTGTGCGCCTCATCATTTATAACATTCATTTTCACGCCTGAAAGAATCCGTTGCGGCTTGCTTACCAATAGCGCATCAATATCACATCATATTTAACTCACATGTTCGCGGGTCGATGTGTGATAATTGAATATGATTTTGATCCAATTTCAGATTTTCATCCTCCATTATGCTTCCATATGTTCATAAAATTAAGTTAGATTTTATAAAAAATGGATTAACAGTAATGTTGCTCATAAAATGTGGTTAGTTTGAATTTTAGTTTTGGGGAAACACACCAGGATTTAGATTTAAAAGTATTTTAGTTCGACTATTACTAGTCCAATTCTACGTGTCATTCAAGAAGAGTGTCTTGCTTTACTGTATATTCAGCGATGAAATAAGAAAAATAATATCACATTTATATTTTTAAAGTAAGCATTAATAATAAAATTTCTTTAAAATAATATAATAAATCACTATGTTTTAGAGTAATATGAAAGGAAATTCCAGTGGGACATCAGAAGACTTCTAACATATAAATATAGGCTGATGCTACAACTATCCTCGCTCGAACAAGAGAGATAAGATATGGAGGAACTGTTGGCTATCCTAGAGATAATAAGCTTTTCTTTCGGAGTTTCTATTAACAGAGACAAAACCAAGATGATGGTCGTCATCGTGAAGTTATTAAAAAGATATGTGACCTTCGTTCAAGGATCGCGTACACTGGAGGATGTAAAGATGACCCTACACGATGGACGAAAAAAAGATCTCTACATTGGTTTCGTTTCTATATTGTTAAACCTCTCGTAAAATTTGATGTCCGTTTTTTAGACTGATTGTATTGTGTTAATAATCGAAGTATACAATTATGTCAAATAAAATCAATTGCAGACGCACTATCTTAGGTATGGTCTAAACTTAAAGAGTATTAAATTCGCATTTTAACGCGTAGTCAATGATACTTGTACGAAGATTATTTGGCTACGAGATTCTGTGCTGCTCTGTGTTTTTAATTAACGTTTAAAATTAACCATTATTATTTATTGGTAAGTATAGATAATATAAGTAGCTCGATGGCGTAGAGGATAAGCGCCGCGGCCGCGGTCAAGCAACTTTGGCAAGAGTCGGTCACGGGATGGGTGACCAATAAATTATTATCTCGAGCTACTTCGTGCTTTGGAAGGCACGTTAAGCTGTTGGTCCCGGCTGCATTTGCAGTCGTAAATACCCTTATTCCGCGTTGGGCCAGCATGGAGGGTCATGGACCATCCTCCGTAACCATCCATAAGGAAGGCCTGAGCCCCTGCAGTGAGCACGTAAAAAGGCTGATGATATATTTGACGATGAGGTGTTTTTATGTGAATTTATATACCTACTCGTATAATAGATTCATTCATAAATTCTAACATATCTACTTAGTATACTATTTTTTGTTCCAAATATTAATATTATTTAATACTAAACAATTTATAGTGTCGTTGGACGGTGACAGTTTTGTCTATTCCTTTGGATTATTTCAATTTTTATAGTAGATACACACAGCCACACATCAGATTATACATTGTGGATTTTGTACTGATACTGACACTAGGTCCATTAACGTCACAATTATTTTTATGCGGCTTATATTACATTTTTATCTTTTTTGTAATAACATTTTAAAATGTACCGATTTTCTTCATAAGGTTCACTCATTTTGACAGTAAGAAAAACACTTTAAAATTTAATTAAATTTGCCAGCCAGCCATATAGCCAGAAAGATTTTATAACAAGTTTATGGATGCTATATGGGAAAAAGACTTACAGCCAGTTGCACAAACGTCCATTATATTTTTCATTAGAATAAAGCGACATTACCCATACAAATTAGACATTCATTAGAGTTTAAAAGCGTCATTGAACCTTGATGGACGTTTGTGAAACTGACCATTTATCTTATAGTTATTAAGTAAATTATGGGAATATAAGAATCATCCTTTAGTTATAGGGTATTAGGATATTTTTTATTTTCTTATATTTCCTTTTTTATCTCTTTTTATTAATCGAATCGGGAACTATGAATACGCGTGTCCGTCAGTTAACGGTGTAATCGGCCCGACACACAGCAAGCCTATCATTTCCGTCGCAGTGCAGCTGCCATGATGTCAATCTGAAGTCTTACATTAACTTATGCATCGCAACGTAACATTATTGACACTGAATTTACCAGTGCGTGGTTGCGTGTATAAAATTATGTAGGGGGTAAGGGGGGTATAAACCAATTTTATTACCCAATAATACTATATAATAACACTCGACAAGTTTTAATTGAAGCTATATAGATAGATATAAATATTTTGCTCGGTGAATGTGGGTGTGAATATCACATCTTTGATTGCAACATTCGATTCCTTTAAGTTGAAAATAAATAATAATAATAATAATATTCTTTATTGCACAAATATAGGACACATTACAAAGAAAGAAAAAAGATCAGACAGTATACAAAAGGCGGCCTTATTGCTATGCAGCAATCTCTTCCAGGCAACCAATGGTAACATAGAAAAACATAGATAAACAGTAATGAATGATGACGGGGAGTAGGTGCAATAGCGACTGGAATTACATAGATATACATAAAGAGAAAAATATATAATGTACACAAAAGAGAGAGAGTTAAAAGTTGGAGAGAAAGTGACATTTTACTTCTGCGACGAAAGATCCCAAAGTGCGAGCCCTCTTAATATTCCTCGGTCAGATCAGTATAGGAAATATCAGCGTAGTCAATGATGGAAAGTAGGAGAGTTTGTGCAAGCGTGATTTTAGTTTTAGTTGGTAGGAAATTTCGTAGTCTATTTAGCGAATTGTACGCAGCAAATACTTTTTTTCTCAGTGCATCTATTTAAGGCTTCCATATAAGACACTGGTCAAATATGATACCAAGGTTTTTGACCATACTCGAGTAAGGAATGATAGTGCCATCGAAAGAAACTGACGGGAGATGTTCAAAATCGATCCTCGAAACGAAATATGGACTTCCAATTATTATAGTCTGTGTTTTTGTGGGATTAACAGTAAGACCAAAAGACTTGCTCCAGCTACAGATATGTGAGAGGTCATTATTAGTAACCATAACCGCATCGGAAAGGTTTGAGACCGAAGCTTGAGTGTAAATCTGCAGATCGTCAGCGTAGAGATGATAGGAAGTAGAAAGTGAGTGAGTAATTGAATTTATAAAAATACAGAAAAGTAGAGGAGATATACGCTGCCGGCGGCCTAGCAGGTAACTTTGAAACCAAGCAATTGAGAACGCAGAATACCGAGAAGGATGTCAAAATCAACAGAATTAAAGGCATTGCTGAAATCAAGCAATATCAACAATGTCAGCTGGTGATTCTCCATCCCATGTGGGATGTCATCTGTAATTTTAACAAATGCAGTATTTGTGCTGTGGCCTGTACGAAAATCAGATTGAAAGGGGTTGAGGAGGCGATTTTGATTTAGAAAGGCCGTAAGTTGGCGATACACTAGTTTTTCAAGAACTTTTGAGAGGAAAGGAAGAATGGATATGGGGCGGTAATCTCAGAAAGAGGCCGGATTAGTTTTTTTCGGGATAGGGATAACATTAGCATCTTTCCAGTATGTAGGAAAGACACCAGTAGAAAGGGATGTATTTAGGATAAAGGAAATTACGGGAGTCAGGATATCTAAAATGGGAAGGATCATTTTGCGGCTAATGGAATCACTTCCTACTGCATTGGAATCGACAGACAAAATAGTTCTCCTAACATCACAGTCAGCAAATTGATATAAGAAGAAAGAGGAGTCCGGCATCGGCAAATTAGAAAGATGTCGTAAAGTTTCAATTTTACGTGTGCCATCAATAGGCATAGAAGAGTTTTTAAGAATTTCCATACTTTCGCAGGATCTTCATCTTCAATAGATTTATGAATGTGACGTCGTTGGGCGTCCCTGGTCACTATGTTACATTTATTTCTGGTACGGTGCTACTTCGTTTCGTTTCGCTTCGAAGGATCGAGTCTGAATCTTGTTTTGGCCCTATTCTTCCTGTTCATCAGTGCACGAATCTCATCTGTTAACCATGGGGCCGGAAGATAGATTGAATTAAAAAACTTTCTGTCCAGTTAATTTATAGCGCAGCTATTATTAATATATGTATTTAATATATTTATTGTGTATTTAATAATGTGATTCGTGTAAGTAATATTTTATTAGATGTAAGCCGTAAGTATCTATAAATATAAAATAATAATATAAGATATAATATATATATATATATATATATATATGCGGAAGTATCTATATGCGGAAATCTTTAATTGGATTATTATTTATTATGTTTAAATGTCTGGATTGCTGTTGGTTTTCTAAGATAAAGTAACTTCTTAATATATGCTATGATCATATCTGCTATATCAATAATACGATGCCTCCTGGGCACCATCAGGAACTTTGACGATCAAAGTAAGTTAAAATTTGTATTACGATATTAATAATAATAATCATCTTTATTTTATTTTCTTCTACAATTTGAGCAACAAATGTGTACAACATAAAAATACAGCAAGTTTATGTAGAAGACAGGAGTCCAAACTAGGTAGACCCCGTTCTTTGGCACTACCTGAATTAATAACCACAATGCCACTTTTAAATAAAAGGTTTCAAAACAATGAAAAGTATCACATCAAGTGTTATATACGTTGAGACCGTATGCAAGCGATTGGGCGGATGTGTGCATTTTTGTGTTTGTGTGTGCTTGAGTGTAAGTAATGTGTTTATAGTAAGAGAGTGTTTGTGAATGTGTATGTACAAACATTCACACACCTCCATATCCATTAAATCTTTAAGCCTTAATTTTCAAAATATCTTCAGTTTCATTGTAATTTAGACTCAGAAGGTATGATGTTACTACATTCTTACAATTATGCCTTGTCATGGGATATATTTCTAGCAATCTGTTAAATTCATTGTATAATTTACCACTCAAAAAAGGAAAGAAGTTATAAGCGTAAGATGTCCTAGGAACAC